TTTGGATGTGGCTATTAGGGCAATGCTATATGTGTTTACTCAGTCCTACTTCCTGGTAAATGCTTGAAGGGTTGCAGCCTAAATGACCAGGATAGTTAAAAACTATCCTTTTATTAGATTCATGATGTCGTTGGTTTCATCTCTGTTTAACACACACACACACACACACACACACACACACCTGTATGCACCACCACACCTTTACCAGGCTTTCTGAAATCAGATGTGGGCATTTGACTGTTTTTTAAACATTTTGATTTGCACTTGTCAGAGAAACAAGAGAGAAAAAGGGAGAAAAAGCAGCAAGACTATCAGCACAACAAAAAGTCACTCACAAGGAATGTTCACAATGCCATTAATAAAAGGAAAGAAAAAAGAGGATTCAAGACATCCATTCTAAATACATACATTCAAAAACTGAATTATTTGTCCGTGTTGGCTACATGAACATTTTCTTACCAGTGTTGAAATCAAGATTTCTCTATAGAGTCAGTTTAGCTGGAGAGACTGGATCAAACTATAATTAAAGTGATAATATATGCTATACCTCTGGCAGCTATAGCTGTATTATTATTAATAATAATATTAATATTTCTATCCTAACTAACAGGAAGAATCCTATCTATTTTAGTGTGCTGAGAACATAATGCCAACCGTTTGGAGAGAGAATCCAGACATAAAGACTCTGAAACTGACAAAGGTGGGCAATCTCAGTGAAATTTAGTACTGGTCAACAAATAAGCCTTATAATATAAAGCAAGCACTGAAAGGTCAAACCCACCATCTTTACGTGAAAAGTGCAGCCTTTTAAAATAAATTTGTGGTGGGGAGGCACTCCAGAGAAATTTATGGAACAGACCATTACATTTTTAAAAATATTTGCCAGGTACAAATGGAGGAATTCCATGGAAAACATAGACAATCCCACATGTGATATTCATCTTCAGTCTGTTAACCCTGCTCTAGAAATTTCACTTTAGAGGTACTCTATTTACATTCCACGGGATGTCATTGATCAACTTACTCAAATTTAGTTTGGTCATTTGAGAGAAGTCTCTGGGAATAGGTATTCTCAAATAGGTAATCATGTGTAGGCACTGTTGAAATTGCACTGTAAGATTTAGTATCTCCAGTCAACATCAGTTCAGCCTTTGACCGATGCCTTGACTAGCCAGATAAATGACCAAAACATAATCAGCTCCATCAAAGGCAAAGCTGCAAGATTTCCAAGACAGTCAAGAACATCAGGAGAAATAAGAATGTTCCATTCCACAATATCATGCACAAAGCTGATAGTACTGCTTGCATTCAGTTTCTCAACTCTGAATTGCACTGCACTTTTATGTATTGCATTTGTATTTGGATTTCTTCCAAGTTTCTCAGAGCAGCCAATGTGGCATTTTCTCCATTTTTATCCTTGCACTATAAAAGAAATAAAACAGGTAATAAAGTGGTCTGTGATAATAATCAGCTCAGAATTACCCATGACCTTCATGGATCAGTGGCAATAGAAACCCAGGTTTTTCTACTCCATTTCTACTGTTTTATCCCACCCTGGCCCTGGATTCCAATTCATCTAAGTACACCTGGATGTTTTTTCGGGTTCCTCTTTTGCCTGCTGAAATGCTGCCATTCCTGTTGAGAGTCACGTTGAGAGTGTCTTTTCCTGAATAACACTGTTATTGTGGAGGCCCTAAGTGTCTGAGGTAAGCTGACCAGTCCTGCATAGTCTATTTTAAACTGACTCCCGGTGATCGATAAAGCAAATATGCACACGCATTAAGGTGTAATAACTAACTAATCAGCATAAAAGTAGCCTTGCTTGGAACCATGGCTTTTGCTTTTAAAAAGTCGTTCTTCCGTACAGGACTGGCTGTATCATGAAGCAAGGTGAACCAAGCTTCCTCAAGTGGAGGAATTTAGGATGATGGGTGAAGGTGGAAACTGATGTTTTGCAGTGCCAATTAGCCTTTTAAAAGTGTGTGTGTGTTTCAGGCCACATGCCCTGCTTTACAGGAAATGGTCTTCTGTTTGAAAGGCTGTCAGAAGATGTTGCAGATGTGTCTTGAAAGGTTGTCCAGTTGAAGTCCAGTTTAAAGACAAAGAACCATATGAAAAAGGTCAAGCAGAGGTCTTGAAACTGTCCATCAACCCAGAGAGCAAAGAGTAGGCCCATGGGTTGCTGTCTTCCTTACTGTGGTGAGATGCGGTGGCCCGTTTCACATAAAGCAACATGCAATACAAACTCAGTGTGGGTTGTCATTGACTCATGGGTTGTTGTGTTGTGCAAACCCAGCCATGTCTGTTGTTAACAAACCATGGTTTGTTAGCAGGGCTGGTTATGCAAATCACTGCCACCTTGTGTTCTTTTTGTGGGGGGATGGCAGCTATTGTATAAGTGGCTGCCCTACTGTGTGTATGTGAGGTGCTATCTGGTGCTGTACTTCAGACACAAAAACGTCTTGGACCAGCACCCAGAAGATCAGATGAAAAGTCTACCTCTTTTAGTACTTTCCCAGAGAGTGCCAACAACCAGCAGATACTCATTGCTCTAAGAGCAAGCTTCCTCTTGCTCTGCACCACCTGCAGCCCCTCCTCTTGTTCACTCTACTATAAAAAAACTTGTTATAAAATATCCACTAGCAAAAGGGGATATTTATAAATCAGAACAGAAGCCCACAGCAGCCTGGGTATAAAGGGGAAAAAAACAGTTGGAGTGCCATAAATATGACAGTTTTATATCCACTCCCTTAGGATTTTTCTTTCTACATTCTGTTTTGTCAGAAGGCAAGCCAAAGGGTAGAAGAAGAAATCTCAAAACAACATACCACTCACCAAAGTTCAAGTTGTCTATGTTTTTGCAGTACTGCTTACATAATATAACTCACTTTGAATAGGATTTCCATTCCCCCTTTGCAAGGATTGGAGCACTTGTTACTACATAAGCCTCTCTTTTGAAAAAGATCAATTCCAGCCCTGGGGAAATGGTGCGCTAAGATTTTAGAAGCGAGCTGATTGATTAGAATACCCCTCTGTAGCAGTGGTTCAGTATCCGTGCCCAGAAATCTGATGAAACAGCAGAGGGTATTGCTGGAACCAGAGAGGACTTCTCTTCAAAGAGTTTCTGAGCCTTTGCATGTATATGATGTACTTTGACTGCTGTTGCATGTGAGAACTAATGCTCTCTTTCTCTCTCTCTCTCTCTTTCATATCATGCACCTGTCTTTGTGCTTTCTTGTTTTACTGAGAAGAACGCCATCTGTATGAGCACACAAGTGAGCCTTTTCTGGGACAGTGCCTACCTCCTGCAGAGCACTGCCCAGGGAGATCTGTCCACAGATATCTCTGCATTAGCAGGCAAAAACTCTGACTTTTTCTAAAGCTTTTCCTAAGATCATGTCACTCACTAGTCAGACCTTACCTGGAATATTGTGTCCATTTCTGGGCACCAAGATTTAAGAAAGATGCAGAAAGGATTCAGTGGAGGGCAATAAAAATGATCCAGGGTTTGGAAACACTGTCCTGTGAGGACAGACTGAGAGAACTGGGCACATTCAGCCTTGAGAAGAGAAGACTGAGCAGGGACATGGTATCCCTCTGTAAGTACCTCAAAGGCTGTCACAAAGAGGGCAGTCAAGATCTCTTCTTGCTAATGCCAGAGTGTACGACACAGAATAGTCAATTCAAGTTGCGACAACCCAGATTCAGGCTGGACATCAGAATAAGCTTCCTACTGTCAGAGCAATACGACAGTGGAACCAGCTGCCTGGAGAGGTGGTGGGCGCTCCCACACTAGAGACATTCAAAAGAAACTGGACAGCCATCTGAGTGGGATGATGTAACTCGGTGTCCTGCAATGGCAGGAGGTTGGACTTGATGGCCTTCATGGCCCCTTCCAACTCTACTATTCTATGATTCCTCACAGGTTGTTGTGAAGATAAAACGGAGCAATGTAAGCCACCTTGAGTTCCTGTCAAGAAATAAAAAGATGGGATATAAAAACATGTGCTAATCCAGTCTTTGAAAAGATTTATCCATGATGCAAAAACACAGGTAACAAAACTTTATTTAAAGGGGAAAATCACAGTTGGGAATTGTTTTAATAACCATAATCCCTTTTATATCCTCTTCTCAGTCGAGTGCATGTTGTTTCTCTGTTTTTTCCCACTTAAGTATAAAGTGAGGCAGAGTATAGGGGATGTCCTAACATGACCGGTTTTGAGTTCCAACCATAGGAGCTATGTGAAGAACTGTAGGAAATAAGTATGGTGTGCAGGAAATGAAAGGCACTGACAGACTCTCGACAGATGGAAGGGTTAGCTTGGAAGGAAAGTAGGTCACTGAACTTTGGATCCTATTTGCCTGTGTTTTGCATTTACACATGAGAGCCAATATCATGTGCTGATCAGTGTTGGACTGGGAGATCCGGGTTCTAATGCCCACTCAGACATGATCATTGGGTAACCTTGGGCCAGTCGCGGATTCTCAGCCAAACCTCTCTCACAGGGTTGTTGTTGGGAGGATAAACATGGAGTTAAGAACACAGGTAAGCTGTCTTGGGATTCTGACAAGAGGAAAGGAGGAAGGACAGTAAATGCAATGGAGTAATAATACTCATGAGTAAAAATGGGGCTGTCGTTCCAGAAAGGGGCGTGCGAGGATGCACAAGACTTTCCTCCAAACCGCTCCCACTAAAAACCGGAAGAACCCGAGCATGCCCGAAGCCTCCTCAGCAGTAAGTGCGCCAGCCGCAAGCTCTCTTGGGAAATGTAGTCCCTTCAATCTTCTCTCGGATTGGTTTTTCTCGCCTCTCTGGTTTGTTCCGCAGGCCGGATCCCGGGGATTGGTGCGCGCTCGCCCAATCGCTGGGGAGGCTTGACGGTTACGCGTCCGTTAATTGGCTGGCCTGTCGTTTTCGCCTGCCCTCCGCTCGTTTTGTTCCTCCGGCGGCGGCCGCTTGCGCGCTGCTGCCCTGTGGCCGGCTCCCCTGTCGCCCGCTGGAGGATGCGGCTGCGCTCGGGATTCTTCACCTGGTCCTGCCTGCTGGTGCAGGCGCTGGGCGTCGGGCTGTTCCTCAGGGGCTTCTTCCCGGTGCCGGTGCGGTCGCAGCCTGGCAGGGGCACGAGCGCCGGTCCTCCGCCAGAGCCGCCTCCCGCAGGTACAGGCAGCCGCCGCCTCCTCCTCCGCCCTGGCCGGGCGCGGATCTGCTCTGGCCCAAGAGGAAGCGGCGGGCTGTTGCTCGCCAGCCCGCCTTGCTGATAGCTGCCGGGGGGTTGCAGGCCCTTCCTTCCAAGGTTACGCGCGGGCCTCGCCCTTCTCCTCCCCCGCTCCAGCGGGCCCGATCCCGGTCACCCCACGAGGGCGAGGAGAAGGTCTAAAGCTGATGCGATGACTGCTCTCGGTTTCGCTCTTTCTGGGATGATTCCAGTGTCAGTCTTAAGTCCTGCTTAACAGAGCCACGTTAGCAGCTTGTTCAAAATGCTGGCAACTTTGGAGAGCTTTTTCTCTGAGGAGAGGACTGGGGCCCCGTGATGCTGCCTCGGCCCGCTTGTCCTGCCTCTTTTTCGAGTGGAGCAAGCAGGGCCCAGGTCCCGCCACCCACAGTGAGCGACCTGAGGTGGCTGCTTTCGTAAGGAGTTGCCCTCTGCTCTGCTTGCATGTGCTCGCTCCTTCAGCATCACAGCAGTGGCAACTGGGCCTGGTGACTCCACTCTTCTCTGCTGTGTTCCCCAGAATGAGGAGAAAGGGGGAGCCACAGTCCCCCTCCACCCTCATGGAGCAGCTTGTCAGAGAGGTTTGGGGCAGAGCTAGTTGCTGCTTCCAGTGACTTCCTGTCTCCTGCTTGCCCACTGTCCTCTGGGTAGCAGGGTGGGGAGGTTTGGGGTGAGTGGGCTCCCCCTCCAGCAGTGCTTCCAGGTGTGCTTCTTACTGTATTACCCCCCCCCCCAGCCTCATTCATGGGCTTTTTTTGGCAGGCCCAAGCATTATCTTCTGTTTGTAACCCCTCTGTGTTTTCCCATCACTGCCTTTTGCCTGAATAGATCCACTTGAAGGGAAAAAGACAGAAGAACTGCACAGTGTCTTTTAGTGGGGTGTGCTAGGGGACCTTCCATCTGGGAGTGCCAATAGAGTGTGTGAGAGAGAAAGTGATCCTATGGCCCCTACGCATCATCTGTCTCTTGCTCTGTGCCCACAGATGCCAAGCCCCTGTTGTAAATTTTGAAGAAATAGTCAATTCACCCCAAAGATCAAGGCTGTATGGTTTGTCTGTCCAGAGTTTATGTCAGGTGGGGGAGTCCAAACAAGTGTCCGGGAAGCAAGCCAAATGTTTAGGAATCTGATTCATTTTAAACAAAGCCAAACAAGCCAATAATTCCTGTTGTTTGCCGCAAAGAGCAGTGCTCTGGCTGATCTAATGTATAGCCAGCTGTAAATGAATAGTTTTAGGAGAGGCACGATGTTCACCCAGCTTCATGAACTTTTGCTAAATCTTCGTATGCCTTCTTTCTATGGTGTGAATTCCCTCTGATTCCGGCTCCTGCTTGTGAGGAATTCCAGAGACTGCCCAAGAGGGGCTTGGCTGCTCCTCTAAAGGGGGACAGTGGGCTGTAGCCTCAGCCCCTGAATCTGACTGTGACCAGCTGTGCTGGCTCTCTTTATTTGAGGAATCCTCCTCAGGTAGGACATGATATCCTGAGGGTGCCTGTTGGAGAATTCAGATTCCTAGATCTGAGGTTGAAAACTGCTTCAGCCTTGAAGTGTGAGATCCATGCTCTGATCACCCCATCCTTGTGCAGCTGGTGTGGAAGGACTTACACTGGCAGCCTTTCTGAGGTTGGGAAATCAGAAAGTTTTGGAGGGAGGGGAGGAGATTGGGGCTACCAGGATATAAGGAACCTAATCATGCTTGATCCTCCTCCCCCTCCCCTCTGAAATCCCTCAGCTAGATGGCCAGAATGGCTGTCTGGCAAAATGCAGAGTGGAAGGTGTGCTGCTTCTCCCACTCTGCCTTGGATGTTTGTAAGCCTCCAAGTTCAGAGGCATGGAGGGCACAATTAGACTGTGCCCTAAGTGAACAAGAGGAGCCTCATAACTCCGAGGGAGGATGCAAGTGAGGGCATGAGAGGATGAAGCGACTGTCCTCACACAATCCGTACTTGGGCACTACACTCAGTCTCTGGGGCCTTCCTCTGAGTGCAACTCCAAGGCAGGCTTGGAGGGTTGTGACAAGGGGGAGGGCTTTCTCTATCTCTCCACTGTAGTCTGCCTGGCACCAGACTTGTCATCCTTTTGGGACAAGGTTAAGACAGCCCTTCATGCTGAGGCCATTGAAGCCTTAGTTGGTTACCTAGGGGCTTGAAGGGATTACCCATCCCTGTTAAGGGCACTGGCTCTATGTAATAGGGCTTCTCTGCATTGATACCTCTTTTTCTCCATAGTTTGTCAAGACAGTTACCAGAGTTCCTTTGTGTTGCTGATTTGTATGCTTGCTAATCTGTTAACATCTCTTTCCTGTTTTGGGACCCATGAGAAGTTGCTCTGGGTAACTGCTTGTATTTCTGGTATTCTGTTAGAAGTGCACTGAGCGTGCTGGCAGCTTGTTTCTGTTTCCTGAGCAATTGCAGCTTGGCTCATCCCCGCATATAAGTAAGGAGCAAAGCATTGCAGGACCAACTGAAAATCCATTTCTGGTCTTCTGGCAGTGTTTAAGCCCCTTGCTGGAGAAGCACCAAAACAAAAGCACACATCATCCTTGCAGGAGACCAGAGCCCAAATTCTGAGTCAGAATCAAATTAATAATTTCTCTTGTTATTATAGTGACTAAGTTTGGTTGTACCTGTCTCTAAATGGGTGTGTAAGAAGTAAGTGAACATTGAGGCTAGTATTTTAGTTGGGCAATAACTGTTGGCTTTGTACATGTTTAATATCATTCTTCTAGGTTTCTCCTCCAATTGGACAAAGATTCCATCTCCTGTCTTTAAAAGAGCTGTCATACTATTAATTGATGCCCTGCGGGATGACTTTGTGTTTGGTCCGAAAGGTAAACAGTTCATGCCCTATACAACACAGCTGGTGGAAAAAGGAAGATCTCATAGTTTTATAGCTGAAGCCAAGCCGCCCACAGTCACTATGCCTCGAATTAAAGTAAGTTCTCATATTTGGGAAGCATAATATAACACGAACTAACCCTTTTTTGATGCCTTTGCCTTCTGATAAATGGCCTAGGATGGGAGGATTTTTTTTCTCTTTCAAGGCTTGGTAACCGCTACTCTTCCAAGTGTTGGTAGACTCCAGTTCCCATCAGCCCTAGTTAATCTGGCCAGCAGTGAGGGGTGATGGAAGTTCTAGTTCAGCAACATGTGGAAGGCTACAGTTTCCCCTGCCCTGTTCTGCTTCCTGGGCAGGACTTTTTGGCTTGGAACTACTGCACTTGAAGGCCCAAATTGCAAGAGTGGGTTTTTGTGCAGAGACAGGAGTTCTGCTAGTTCTTTCCCATTACTGTAATTCCCATTACTGAAGGAACAGTGCTGTTGAAGAAAGGGAAAATCTCGGTTCTGACTGAAAGCAGATTAACTGCTCAGAGGAAAACTAGTATGCCTGCATGGCTTGGATGTTCTTTTTGGGGTCTTGGATGATCATTTTTGGATTCTACTGAAAGGGTTCAATAATTTCTGGTGCCTGTTTGCTAGAGCAGTGGTAAAACCTTGTATTCTAGTCCTGCTAAAGTTCTGTGCTGGATCATTATTTTGTAAAACAAATGCATCTTGAGCAGAATTACTGATAGCTATCTTCTGCTAAGTATGTGTACATTCAGGGTGTGCCTGACTGCATGCTGTTTGCTTTTGGAAATGTTATATAACAGGTTCTTTGTTTTATTAATTTATACCTGCGGCATGATTTTGCAACCACGAGGACTAGAAACTTGTGTTTAAAAAAATCTGCAAAAATCAGATTTTTGGGAAGTTGTGTGCTCTGACACACATCCAGTTGCTTTTCAGGGTTCTGCTTCCAGGTTTCCTGAACCTGGTATCCTCTACAGGTGTTGATTTATGGCCCCCATGAACCCTTGCTGCACTGCCTGGAGATGATGGCAGTTGTAGTCCTACAGCACTAGGAAGCTGTAGATTTTAAGGTGTGCAGATCCATTTGAAGATGCAGCTTGGTTAACAGCTATTGCAGGAAAGAAATGGTTTGGTTGCATGGTTAAATATTGAAGGAAAGCTTACAGCAAGCTCTGTTTCTATGCTGGAACTGATTTGCATATGAAAAGAATCATGGCTGAGCTAGCTTGCCTAAGCTAGTAAACAAAAGCTGCCCATATAAAGGCCAGAAAATATACTTCATTAGCTTTTAAGTATTGAACTAGCTCCATGGTGTAAAGATGTGCTTGTTGAGGGTCAAGGGTGGCTTCAAGGAGACAAACCTCTGACTAATCCCATATGTGATTGTGGTGTTTTGATTACTGAGACAGCAGCGACTTAAGACTTTTATTGCTATACAACCTAGTAAGCATAAGGCGTAAGACCAGTTCTGTGAAGGCACATGCAAAAGGTAGTATTTTCTCCCAACTAAGGAATATAAATGTGAGCTCCCGCTTTGTTTACGTGCATGGCCAAGCAAACTGCTCCAGCCAGGTGTTGTGATACATGCCACTCTATGTTTGGAGACACAGTCAAATAATTGGTATTTGTCTGCACTGCCTGTGTGGTTTTTCTGAACGACTTTTGTGCCACAGCAAGAACTTTGTGTGTGGGTGGAAGGAGAAAGAAGGAAAGGGCCCTGGTTCCTGCTATTCTCTCTCTCCCTACCTCACCCCGCCCTTGCAGCCCCTAATTCTGGCAGAACAGGTATATGTAACCTGCTGGGGCCCTGAATGTGCGGAATTAGCCTGTTTCTCATTTCTCCCTCTGGACTTTCCTGTTGTCATTCATGGCCATTATTCATGGCCATTCAGTTTTAGAAGTGGGATTGTTACTTATGCCCAAATATAGAAGAACAAATTTAGGTAGATGTTATGCTGTGCTATCTTTGGTAATGGAGTTCTTCTTTAAAGAATTTTACTCATTTATTTATTTATTAATTTATTTAAAACATTTTCATGCCGCCCCCATCGCAACAAAGCCTCGAGGCGGCTTACTCATGGGAAGACTTTGTCCTTATCAATCAGGTAAAACCTCTGCTTCATAAGCCATTTCATTGCAATTTTGATAATCAAATGTCCTTTAATAAGGACACTTCCTGGTAGATCTGATGAATTACTTGCTGGAGTTAACCAAAATAACCAGTATAAGTCCCATTGTCTAAGCATTACCAAATCTGGATCCAATCCAATGTTGCTTTGCTATTAACCAAATTCTTAAACATTGCTGCTAATAGAATTGTTTTTGATATTGCATCTCCATAGTTTTCTCTGACTTTTCCCTTGTTTGGTGTGCACATGTCTGTGTATAAAATACCTGATTTCATATACTGAGTTTTAGATGCAAGAGTTCATTCATGGTTTGGGACTGCTGTATATATGTGTAACAAAGCTAGCCATGGAAGTGGAAGTTCATGGGGATGTCTGCACTCAGCTATGGCCTTGAAATCTGGTATGATCAGATTTTGTAGAAAGCTTCTTGGATACTTAAACTTCTTCCCAAAGCAGAAAACTAGAATTGTATCCTCAAATGATCAAGCTATTTTGTGTGGATTTTGGTACTGAGACTCCTAGTGGTAGTAACAAGTCTGGAGGTAGGCCTATGCATTTCTGCCTTAAAATGAGACCCTCAGTAAGCCTACTTATAATAACAACCTTCTTGATTTATTTATTGGTTTTATATCCTGCCATTTTCTTTTTTTTAAGAACTCAAAGTGGCTTACATCATTCTCCTCCTGCTGCTCTCCATCTTATCCCCACAACAACAACCCTGTGAGGTGGGTTAGGTTGAGAGTGTGCGACTGGCCCAAAGTCACCAAGTTGTCTCTGTGACTGAGCAGGACTAGAGCCTGGATCTCCTGAGTCTCAGACCTGTGCTCTTCACCACACCACACCACACCGCACTGGCAAAAGCTGATGACTCAGAAAACTGAAATCTGGAAAATACGTAGTCCTGTATGCTCAGGATGACTAGTAGAACAACTTGATGTTTGCTCTGCTTGGAGCAGATTCATTGAAGAGGGACTTCAGTGAACACTGGATATAGTTCATTGGACAACATTTGATACAACCCTTGGAGTATTAGAAACATCTGGAAATAGGATATTTTGACTCCTAACAGACCCTGACAGCATGGCATATATGGGTAGGGTTCAGTCCTTAACTGTAAAAAAGGGGGGCATGAAGTTTACCTCCCAGTAGGGGGTGGACCTGGAGCAGAGGGTAGGCGTAAGTCTCCCATGGGATGGAAACGTAGGAAGCATGTTGCCTGTTCGAGTTTGGATGTGCCACTGACAGTCAGGAACTAGGCTTGCAGAATGAATGGTTCATTTGCTTGGAAATATGTTCACACCCTCGAGAAATCTGCATCACAGAACATTATAGCCGATCTACTAGAAAGTTGTTGCAGCAGAAACTTTCCCCGACCTGGCACCTTCCGGATTACAAACCCCATTAGCATGTTGGCTGGGGATGATGAGCATTGTGGTCCAACGCCTCTGCAAGGGTCTGCTGTGCTGCAATGTAGAGAACATACGAGAAGCCTGACGGAGCACACTGCTGCATGAAGCAAACAGTGTTTGCAGCCAGTTCCACCATCAGGACAGGCTTCAGAGTGGAGGTTGCTGTGATGTTTGCCTTACAGGGCTGGGAAGAATTTAGGAATGCGCAAACACAATGAAATAAAACATACAAGCCTGATCCTTTTAAATACATACGTACATACATACATACATACATGCAGCCCTTGGGATGCCTATAGCAAGAAACAGTTTTGTGTACCCAGCTGTTAATTCTTCAGTACTACCGTTACATGGGTTTCTAATTAAGTACTCCAATGTTGAGAAGTGTCTTATTTTAGCACTTAATGAGCGGATGCAATTAATTTATCCTTATTCCCTTAAAAGTTTCTGCATGTTTCCCAAAATAAGACATCGCAATTTGTATCCCAAAATAGATGTTAATGAAGACACATTTCTATCTGTTTTAGAAAAGACAGATCAGGATAGCATCCATTAAGTACTGAATTATTTTATTTTCATGAATGGGGGTCTGTTCTTCACATTCCAAACATATTTGGAATTTTGGGAACACCTTGGATGCTGTACCAGTATGACTGCCATGAGACCAAGTGTCGGGGGTGGATACGCTTGCTAAAATCCAGCTGTACTCTATTATGAAACACCCATTTCAAAGAAAGGTGCTGTCTTTTCATGGAAAAACCTACTCCATGTTACCCAAAGCTTTCATTTCAGCAGTAAAGTTAGAGCATTATACTATTACTGATGCTGTTAAAAAAACTGGGAATCAGAATTCCTTGGCAATATACTTCAGATCACCCAGAAAACTACCAGTTGATCCAGATCCTCCATTTGGTGATGTCAAGAAGACCCCATGCCAGATGGCTTAATTCCTAAAATGTTCCTGGAAAGGGTAAATGTACTCTGGAGAATTCTGTTGAGCAAAGTACACCTGATTTAACTCGTTCCTTCTGTTGCTGTCAGGAGACAGTGCTATTAGTGAAAAGATACATTGGAATTCTTGATTATGTGGAATATCTGGCAGTATTTGAGCATGGACCCAGCATTTGTTGGGTCATTTGACTGCTGCCCTGGCAGGGGTGGGGGAACGTATGACCTTTCAGAGGTTGTTGGACTCCAGCTCCCATCAGCCTTGACCTGCATGGTCCATAGAGATGGGAGTTGTAGTGCAATAGTGGTTGGGCTGCACATTCCCCACTGGTGATGTAGGGCTGTGGTAGATCAGTGATCAGGACCGGCTTGTGCAGTTGCATTCTAATTAACCTGTTGACTCTTTCATGGAAGTGCCACAGAATTGTCTTATCACCCATGCGCATATGTCCATGTCCTTATCCCAAGCCTAGCGCCTCCTCTCAAACCCTATCAACATCTTTTTCCTTTCTTGGGGGGATACTTGTTTTGCAGGCATTAACAACTGGCAGCATCCCTGGTTTCACTGAAATCATGATGAACCTTGATTCTCAAGCTTTACCAGATGATAACTTGATATGGCAAGCCAAAGCAGCTGGAAAGAAGATCATTTTCTATGGGGACGAGACTTGGGTTAGACTGTTTCCAAAGCATTTCATAGAATATGATGGAACAACCTCTTTTTTTGTCCCGGACTTCACTGAGGTACGGAGTCATGTAGGCATGTTTTTATTATGATTATTATTACATTGCATTTCTATCCTGCCTTTCTTCCTCTTTCAAGGAACCCATGGTGGCCTACACGGTTCTGCTTTATTCTCACAACAACCCTGTGAGGTAGGTTAGGTTCATAGTCTGTGAATGACCCAAGGTCATTCAGTGAGCATCATGCTCACTGGTCCTCTAGTGAGGACCAGAACCGAGGTCTTCTGCATCCTGGTCCAGCACTCTTAACCGCTACATCATCCTGGCTCTCAGGTTGATGTATGTTGATCAGTGTGTGAATAATTATTGGCAGGAGCATTTAATCTGTATGCGTCTTAAAAGATCAACAAACTGTATGGCAGCGAATGGATCAGCTGCATTCTTAAGCAATGCTTTAAGTCACTGCTACTTTTGAAAACATGCTTGTTTCCCTTTATGCAGGAAACTTTAATTTCCAGAAGAAACCATGCTGCATATACATCCTTGGACTAGGAAAAATTTTTGTTGCTTGATTCGGCAGACAGTATAGACTGGAAGTATGAACTGTTCAGTGCCAGCTTTGACACACCTTTCTTTTCCTTTCTCTTCCAAGGTTGATGATAATGTCACGAGGCACTTGGATACTGTGCTGAAAAGAGAAGATTGGGATTTGCTTATCCTTCACTACTTAGGGCTGGACCATATTGGTCACATCAGTGGGCCGCACAGTCCTTTAGTGGGGCCGAAGCTCTCTGAAATGGATAACATAATCAAGAAGATTCATGCGTCCTTCCTCTCCAAGGTGACATGCTTATTTTGATTTGTGAATCTGGTCGATGGTGAGAATTGGAGTTTTGTGGGCTCCAGACCTTCTGACAAAGGTGTTGAACCTCTTTCAGTGCAAGATTTGAATTGCTTTTCAGAGGAGCTTTTGAGGGCAGCATGCCAGGGCCAGATGAAGCTGAAGGGGTGATGCCAGACTATCAAAAATACTCACATATTTGTCTTAAAGCTGCTACCACCAAGCTTCAGAAGGCACATTTTGGCCTTTGAGAATGGCACCGGGGGGAACTGTGCAAACACCTGGAAATGCTAGAAAGATCAGTGACTGAGTGGAAGAAGGTCCAGCTAGGAAGATCAGGGCACAGTCTCCATGTGGCATTGCATCCCCTTGTGTGTCTTTAGTGCGCTGGCTTGTATATGATGCACCCGTTCATTGTAGTCCTCACTTTTTCCAGTAAAACTGTAAAATGCCGAGTGACCACTGGAGTGCCATGAGCAGGAAGGACAGGGTGCTGCCTTGTGCAGCCTGCAGTGCAAATTTCAAATGGGAGAAGAGGAGGCAAAGTTAGTGAGGGATAAATTGGATCCACGTATTTTTGGGTTGGTAGCAGAATGCTGAATGCAAATGTGTATGTTAGTGTGTCGAGATCCGCCTTGCCTTGCTGTTTGCCTGAGCGTGCTGCGTCAACCTTCCTCAACTTGAAGCCCACCAGATGCGTTGGAGTATAGCTTATGTATTTCCCACTCCTGCAAATTTGGGGATGTTAGCTTGGGGAAGTGTGTTCATATGGTCATATGTATGTGATGAGCCAAACTCTTCGGGTTCTGTTATGCTCTGGTGCTTTTTGTAAGACTTGGATGGGTGACAACTGTTCCTGTAAACCTTTGCCTTCCAATCTTAAACTCTGCAAGATGAAATAACAAAAAGGCCAAGTCTGTCAGTGGAACCCCCTAAGTCCTTGGAAATTTCCTTTTCTTCAGGAGGAGGGAGAAGTGGCTTCTCCCCATTTACTTGTTGTGTGTGGCGACCATGGGATGTCTGAGATGGGGAGTCATGGAGGTTCCTCGGAGGGGGAAGTGCACACGCCCTTGCTTTTTATCGCCTCTGCTTTTGACAGGAAGAGTGGTAAGTATAGAATTTCTCTGCCCAGTACTGGCAGTGCAAAAAAGGGGTAAAGGGTACAGTCTTATGCATATTTAAACAGGAAAAACTCATTTAGTATCCCCCAGCAAACAGAGCTGCAGCAGTTTTTCTGTCTCTGAACATTCCTAGGATTGCACTCTTAAGTTGCTACGTTGAAAAACGTTCTGAAAGAGTAGGTGACTTCAGACTGTAGGTAGAAGCAGGCATGATTAAATACTCCTCCACAAACACCCACCCAAATCCCTGTATGTAAAAAAACCTGAATGTCAGAAAGAAAAGCAGGCTAATATGCTTATTTTAGATTTCTGGGGTTTTTAAAAAACTATGGCAAGTCATAAGTGGTGTGGTCCAGATGCAGGTTTACCACCATAGTGAGAACACAGCCTTGTGAGCTGTTTTATTTAGAAAAGTAACTGTTAGCCTAATGATAGGGTGGTGCCTTTATTGGTCCATCAGAAAATTGTTCAAGTTTTCTTCATCATAGGAAACTTTACAAAAATCAAGATTGCTAGAGGGGAGTGGAACAGGGGAAGGCAGTGAAGGCTGATGTGATGCTTGAGGTCAGGAAGGCTACTTGGTCATCCTTCAGAGGAAATGGGCAAGGAAGAGGAAGTGGGCAGAGATATTCAAATTATACTCTACTACATGCTTTTTAAGCCGATTCTGATTTTTTTTCTTGTTGATCAGTTGTTTATCCAGATCTTAAGGTGAATTTTTGCATTGCAGATTCACATTTTGTTGTGTAACTTGCACATCGGTAGGCCTTTAGTGTATTCCTTCTGACTCACTGTCACATGCGTGGTAGTAAGCCATTGCCAAATTTCAGCCACCTGCCTTTTATAAATATGCCTAGGGCATAAAATATTACCTCCTAATCTGCCCAGTTGGCCATTGGGATTCTTTGGTGACCCTATACAATGTAGATGTATTAGGGCACAATGTGAGTTTCAGAACAGGTCCTCTTAGTCTGTTTTGAGTGCTAGAAAAAGGAGCAACCCCCTCCTTCAGCCCAAAGCTGAAATCCATGGGAGGAAAACATTGGGATTCCAACTGTAAGCTGACAGGACAAAGCGTGGTTGTTCTGATGGTGCACTGATACAGGAAAGATTCTGTCTGATGTTGCCTGTACTAGCTGAAACCTGAAATTTGTAGTTAGACTGATTGTAACCTGTGGAGAAAACATTCTGTCAAACGGAGGCCTTCCATCTGGGGCATTTGCAGTGCCAGCAGCAGTTTTGCGCCCAGGGTACAAAACTGATCTGCCAAATGCCAATTTTTTAAAAAATAATCCAGGATTAAGTTAAATATTCTCTCTCTCTCTCTCTCTCTCTCTCTCTCTCTCTCTGTGTGTGTGTGTGTTGTATGTTTAAAAGTTTGTGTGTATATTGTTTTCTTAATGTATTTAAGATTTTAATAACCTCAGAGAGAGCTTCAGCTGTTGGGCAGTATAGAAGTGTTAGAAATTAAATGTGATGATTTCAGTTTGCACTTGGGGCTGCTGGGAAGAATCAGGAAAACAATAATTGATCTCCCCACTTTTTTACAGACAAAATCCAGCTGTTTCTCAGAATGATTTCTTTCATGAGGTGAAATGGACAATAGCTGGAATACTGAAGCAGAGAGAAGCTAGACAGGTTTCATAGAAACAGAGGAGGAGATAATTTTAGATAACTAAGTATCAAAAATCAGTGGGCCCGATGCATCTGGTGAACCATGGAACTCTTGCTTCTATAAAGGCAACATCCTATGTTCGGTGTTGTAGGGTTTTTTCTGTCTAAACATGCATAAGATTGCATCCTAAATGTGTTAGGGAACAATCCTATGACTCCTAGACCTTGTTTGAAGGGGTCATAGGACAGTTTAAATTGCCAGATTCAAGGCTGGAGATCTCTGGGAATTGAAGTCCCTGTGCCCCCCAGCAGCTGGAGTGGAAAGAATTGTGCTGGCTGTTCCTAAGATCAGGAAAGCTACCTTGAAGTGGAGTTAAAGACAATCTTTCAGGGTATCTTGAAGGTTTCCTAAAGCTGCTCTAGCCTGGCCCCCATCCCCAGCATCTCTAAGGTGTTGCAGGACTTTATTTTTATATGTGGAAGTAGAAAGTGATGCTCACACTATGCTGTGTCATTGCAAAACCTAAGCAAGATGGTTTCAGGATGAGAGAGTGTGCTCAGCTTTCCAGAAGAAGTATGGGACAGAAATATAAATCTGCATCTTATTTATCTATGTACTTATTTCTGTACTGCCCAATAGCCAAAAGGTTTTCTTCATAACGACCATGGTCCAGCCAGGTGGAGTTCTAAAACTGAGGCAGCTCTGGAGTGTTGTCATTTCCAAGCAGTGTGTGATCTCCCAGACCATGACATGTTGCCATAGATTGTGAACCACTGTAGCACTTTTCTACCTTAAACAGTTATAATGGAGGGCTGCTTCATTGAAGTGCGACCATGAAAGGGGGAAACATAAAAAATTGAACTACAGTGGGCCTCTTCAAAAGATCATAGTTTTGGGAAGGTGAACAAATCTTAAGCCACATTTCTGTCCTCCTCTTAGGTCCTCTGAAACGTCCAGAACTGATTCAGCAGACTGACATTGCAGTCACGTTGGCCATAGGTCTGGGCTTGCCCATTCCAAGGAGCAGTGTTGGGAGGATTTTGCTGCCTGTTGTACAACAGAAAACAATAAGAGAACAACTACGGTACTTGCATTTAAATGGCTTCCAGCTCAGCAGACTTCTCCAAGAGAATATGCCTTCCTATGAAAAAGGCAAGTAAGTTAATTGTGCTGATAATTCACGAACATTCTCTATGTATTTTTACTAGTAAAGGGAATTGTTGTTGTTGTTGTTGTTGTTGTTATAACATTTCTATGCCGCCCCTTGCCGAAGCCTCGGGGCGGCTTACAACACAAGATACATTGAAATACAATAGAACATAATAAATTACCACGAAATACAAAAATACAAAAAATACACTGAGAATACAATAATATAAAATTAAAATTAACAGTATAAAATAAAGAATATAGGAGGAGAAAAGAGAAGGAAGAAGAAGTTGCCCTGGCCAGATTTAATCTTTGGATCATTAGACAATTGAAATAGATTCTGTGTTGCACAGATAAAGAGAGATGGAACCATGAATCAGGATACATTTTACAGTATGTGAGATTTGGATGTCAAATCTGAATGAAAGAAGCAAAACTTTTGGTCACGTTTCTAACACAGTGAACACGAAAGCTCATTAAAAGTGTGAAGAAATCTCAGTTTGATTCAGGTAGTGCAGAATCTGCTGACAGTCTGTGAATGTCAGTTTCTGGCCCAGTGCATACCTAATTCTGACTCACTGCAAATTGGGATCCAAGCTTGGGGTGATTTTGCTTTCTTTTCCTTGTTACTGTTAACCATGACTTACAGTTCACATATGCAGGGATACATTTCTTGCCTATATAAGGAAGCCAAATATAGGCTAGTGAGCAAATGTGGACTGCATCCTGCTCTGTAGGATATTTGTGTTCTGCTTTGCAACCCCTGCTGCCACAGTGCCGGATTCTCGGTGATTCTGCCTGGAAACAGGGTGGGTTTTCTGCACTCCCCCAAACCAACCAGAAATCTGCAGAGTTGCTGAGAATGCCGCATTTGGCAGAGCAGTCATTTCCAGGAGAGTGGTGTGTCACACTCTGAGTTCCAGCAGAGGTTAATGCAGCCTGCCCCAGGCTATCCACTGATGTGGCAAATTCTGGTTTCCAAATGTGGGTCGGAGTCCATAGTTGCAGGGGAACTATGTAACTCTGTCACAATTCTTCATCAAGGGAAGTAGGAAGAAGTCTTTCTTTAGCGGCCTTGGATAACTTTCTGATCTGCATTAATGTCTTGTATTACTAGATCCCAGCTTTGAAATGTTTAAGGTGGCGGAAAAATCTCATGGAAGTTGGATCAAGCTTTATTTGGAGAGGAACACCTCAGAGGTTCTCATCAATCTTGGCAAGAAAGTCCTGAAGCAATATTTGGAGGCTCTCAAGATCCTGAGCTCTTCCTTAAGCAAGCAAGTGGTGCAGTATGACATGTACTCAATGATCATGGGAACTGTGATTGCTCTAGAGGTATGAATGGGTGTTTTATTATTTCTTTAGTTAAAACTTTTATATGCCGTCACACATGCCTCAGCATCTTGGGACGGCTCACAGCACATGCAATTAAAAACAAATGAAACAACAATCAAATATTGCAGCCATCATGTGTATTAGTTCAGTTTAGTAATGCACTGCACTGGCCCTCTTTGCAAGCACTCTGTTCCTGCTCTGAAATTAATTGATGGAACTTCTTGTATCAGAAGTAGGTGGTGGTCTTTCAGTGGTGAGCCCAGAGTCCATGTGACTTTGGGTGCGTCAAGAGGCTTGGGCATGACCTATGCGGGTTTTGATTTTTCTTTGATTTACCCCCTCCTGGACAACATATGCAGGGCTGCAAACTCTTTCCACTCTAGCTGAAGGATATCTTACTGTACCATCATCGTGCTCTTTGTCAATCATAAACCTAGAATTCTGGGGGACAAGTGGAACTGCTTGTTCCCCACTGCTTCATTTTGTGAAATTTTCTTCTCTTGTTTCCTGGTGTTCATATTATCTGTGGCTGCAAATAATGTAAAAAGACAGGTAGCCCTCACTCCTTGAAAGTTAATCGCGGCAGCAATGTAGGGGGCACTAAATTGAGGAAGATTGCTGTTGTTCACTAACACTTCTACTTGGCACACTGAATTGTTAGAAAATTTGACTCGGTTTGCAACTGACATGCAAGGATGTGAGAGTCTTAACAGACCCTCCTCCCCTGATTTTGATCATTTCTGTCTATTATCTGTTCTTTTCTCCTCCATGTAGGTGCTCTTGCTGCTTCTATTGAACGTCCCCAAAGCACTGAGCAACAGGGCAGAATTTGAAGTGCCCCTCTCTCCTTTGTGTTCTCTGCTCTTCTTCCTGATGTGCCTGATGCTCTCTGCTGTTCATGTTGTCGTGTGCACCTCAATGGAAAGCCTGTGCTATTTCTGCCGCATTTCATGGCTGACAGCATTTGGTGTGATCGTGATGATTTCTGGGCTCCTATGTGTCATTCTGGCTGCTATGGAAAAGGCGTTTGTGAATCCAACACAAGCACTGAAGGTAAGATGTGTGGGAAATGTAACTTTAGCTGTTCTTACCTGTTGTACTGAAGCTCAGTTTTGTTTAAAGACAGGCATTACACATTAACTCTTTGCTGTCGTAATATTAGTTAGCCTGAAAATTGCCACAGGTTTCCTCAGTTTTGGCCAGGTGCACATGCAGTGTGGATAAAAATTGCTGGGGGAGGGCGGGAGATTTTGAAAAGAAACTGGAAAAAGTGTTAGGTTGCTTCCCGCACTCCAGACTATCTTATGCTTCACAGTCATTGGTGGGTGCATTTGTTCGCTTGCTCCCCCCTCCCCCGGTGTTAAAAAACTGAAAAAAAACCTGCATGTAATATGGTCCCCCGCCTCCAAGATGTAAAAAGAGTAAGAGGAAGCACTGCTTAGAGCAGTGTCATGGACCAGAATCAGAAACCCGCATCCAGAGAATCTCGTTTCCTTGTCCCCTGGAGAAGAGGTGCTATAGTTAATTGTTCAGGGAGGGGGTTCAGTCATTGAGAGAAGTCGTGAGCCTTCGACCTCTCCCTAGAACTCAGTTCCCCAGAAAAAAGTTGTCTTGCTCTCTTTGGACCTTGAGGACCTAAGGTCATTAATTCAAGGATGTGGCATCAAGTTAAGAGGCAGGACCAGTTTAGAAGCCTCAGATGTGCCCAGTGCTTGGCCCTGAAACAGGAGGGCCTCTCTTGAAGGGGTGGTTTGCTCCTTTCATTTGAGAAGGGAAGAGGAGTATTCCACTTGGAGTCAACTTCTTGTCCTTAAGCTGCATTTCCCTAATGGGCAGTATTCTAACTTGGCTTGTTTCTGTTGTTATTAACTGCTAAAATCCTTTTCATTTGTAGCACAGCTTAGCTTGTCAATTTTAAAATAAATTCTTTCAACCCAAAAGGCTTTCTCTTGGTCTGCTTGGAAGAAGGGGAAAAAAGAACATCTATTCTGGCTGGGACTGTTGGGAATTGTCCAAATTATCTGGAATATACCAGATTACTTGTCCCTCACTTAGAATGCTAACCATGGCAAACTGATTGTACATCCCTTTACCAGCATAAAGGTCTCCGTTCAGCAGAACACATTTTTTGGAATTTGCATATTCTGCTGATGTCTTATTTTCTTCCTCTTGAAGTCCGATTCCAGTCAGTCTTTGTCTCTCTTTTAAGGTTTGGGCATAGGGAGATGCCACAGTCACTTAATGAGCTTCACTGAGGATTTGAGTCAGTACATTGATATATCCTGAAATCTGTCACGTTTAACAATTTATTGTAAAATGTTCATTTAAATTTTCACAACCCATCAACCTGCATGCCTGCCTGCCCTGGAAGTTGGCATGGCCATCTCAGCACCATTTCTGCTACCTACCAGTCCCTACATAGCTATCTACTTGGCTCTGAGGCAGTGGTATTTGGGACTAAAACTGAAATGGTAAAACAGACGAAGCTTTGTCTTTGAAACTTTTCAATCAAATCACAGCTTAACCTCACACTCTGCCCCACAGATGTGTAACCTGTCATAGTCCATAGCATCTAATGTTAATACTTTCTAAACCCATTTTCCTCCTCCAGTGCACATCCAATATCTTCACTGAGGGCACAGTTCTGTGGTCTCCAGACATCATCTGGAGGACCATGGATTCTTCCAAGTCCCAGCACTGAGGCCCTCCTACTTCAATGCTCAGATGACCATGGCCAAGCCCCTGCCCTGCCCTGCCCTGCCCACAACCAATGCAGGAAGAGCCATGCCAATTGCTTCCCTGAAAGTGGAAATGTGCTGCTGAGATGGGAGGAGACTGGGGCCTAGAGCAGATATTTTGGCAAGCATGGGGGGACCACTGAGTATGGCAGGCCTGTGTCTCCTTCTGTCTCTTTTTCCTGTAACATGTACGTTACAGGGAAGGAAGTGTGCATTGCTGTCATGCTGTGAACTTCCATTTCCTTATTGGCTGCTTCTTGAAGAAACAGAAATGGGACTGTGACCACATGCACTTCTGCTATTACACATTTATCTTTGGGAACAGCAATGCTCCAATGTCATCTGGTCTAATTTGGGCCCTAGCTGTGAGGTTGTGTCAACCTTCATGCAGTATATGGTATGCTGGTACAGCATGAACTTGTGGATGGGGTGGTTGTCTTGTGGTTCCTTGTTCCTTTCGGCTTTATTTATTTTTAAAATTGTATACCATTTACTCAGCTGTGTTGGCTCTCTGAATGGTTTACACTCAGTAAAATCCAAATGTAATACAATATATTAAAACAGATTAACAATCAATAAAACATTCCAATTAAGCAATAAGTAAAACTAAACAAAAGAATTTATAATGTAATTATGCAAATCAATAAATACAAAATTTTGATTAAAAACAAATGAAAACAAGAACCAGATCAGAAGATAAAGTGAAAAACTGGCTGTACATATTAACAATATATTGCTTAAACATTAAAATGCTGAGCGAATAAAAATGTATTTGCCTGGCGCTGGAACACTTACAGTGTTGGTGCCAGGTGTACTTTTCTGGGAAGCAAACTCCTTAAAAAGTCTCCTATTCAGTTGGGTCGTTATTATTAAAACACATGCACAGTACCCCAAACATGCTAAACTGGGATTTTTTGCACTCTGATGCTATTAGAAATGATCTGAGCATGCCAAATTTTGAACATGGATTTGTTATTGTGGAAGCATAGCTGCCTAAAAGGTTAAGTGCTCTCAGTTATAATGACTAAATTATCAGAGCATAAGAGCATAGTCCAGGGAGATTAGTGGAGAAGGATAGTTGCTGGCTTGGCTGTTTGATAGGCAACTTTCAATCTCTGAAAATCACTGCATGCAAAGCGCTTCTTCCAGTAATCCACATTATCTGATTTTTATAATAGAGCAATAATAGAAATCCTGGTTTTGAAGTAGCATTTTCAGATTAAGTTTAACTGGATAATATGTGTTGCTGTAACAGGCAGTTTATTGCAAACCTCCGTGGCATAAACTGGAATATACTAAGGGAGATGAGAAAAATAAACTTATTAAGCTTGAATTTGAACCTATTAAAATCTGTGTGGGCAGAGATATAAAAACCAGGGGGCTGCAATAATTAGTTGGTGGATTAATTAGTCAGGACCAGAATCCATGTTTGAAGGGGCAATCTTATACATTTAAGACAGACGAAGCCCTGCAGCTCCTTCCATTTCTCAGTCAGCCATGCTAGCTGACAGAGGCTTGTTAGACTTTTCTTCCTATCCTGACATGCACAGGATTGAAGCTATTCTTGATGTTCAAAACTTCTTGAGGCTGTTTGAATTCCAATGTGAAAACTGAAAAGAGTGAAATGAAAAAATTAAAGATTTTTCCCCCCCCTCTGAACATTTTTCCTGCCTTGTGAGATAGCTTACAGGTTTTTTTTTCAGTGTCTGCTATTGAGGCTCTGATAATGTGGAGAGTGAAATGGTAGATAAGCAGTTGTCAAAAAAAAGTAACTGGCTGGATCCAACTAATGAAAATCAAACCTTCAGGTAGCCTCTCCTGGGTTTCTTGAGGCTTCTTAAACTGCGTTGGAGAATGATAAGCAGCTCGTGCTTCTCTCCATTTCCGCCCCTGCTTCTCTGGTTCTCGTGTAAAAGGACCAGGGAAGGAGTCACGCCTTATCGTTATGGAGATGATAACACCTGTGATATCTGAAATGGCAGCAGAGGAGACATGAATCACACCCATTTTTCTATTACAGCTTGTTTGGAATGTCTGAAATGTCCCATCTTGTATCATGTCTGATGTCCTGTATATTCTTTGAATAGGAATGCATGAACAAATCTACATTGGTGCTATAAGAAGAAGGTGGAACTAGGCTATACTGTATTTTGGAGAACTGCACAGGAGAGATAGACAGATATAAATCTTGCTCAAATAAAGCACTAGTGTGCATTATGTATGTGTGTTTTATTTTTAGACCAAAGCAATTGTAGTTTTCTTTCCCCTACAACAAAGTGCAAAAAAACCAACATATTTTTTGCACTTTGTATTCCAGTAAATTTTATAGTCCAGTAGCTGCTTCATTCTAGGGACACTCAGAAGCTATGTGTTACAGCAGAAGAGAAATAAAGCCCTCAAGAGGAGATAAATTCTCCTTTTGGATCCCAAGCTTTAAAGGTTAAGCACAGCACTTTGAATTCTACTCAGAAATGGCCAAGTGATGCTGTTTGAAGGATGGGTGTTTGGTGCTCTGTCTGACAAGTATTCTAAGGCTGCATGTTGCTCTTCATGCTGCAGCCTTTCAAAAGTGATGTAAACATCTAGTGTCTGGTGATTTCCAGGAGATGGAAAAACAGAAACAGAGTGAGTTGGAAGGGGTCTCCTGGGTCATCTAGTCTAACCCCTGGCTCCAGCTGGCTCTGCTCATGGCATGCCTACCATCTAGGGAAGATGCAGGCCTGCAGAATGTATTTGTTTATGCAACATGTGTTCTATTGCAAGTGCACAGAATCTTGAATGAGTCGCAAAATAATATTCGATAAATAATTATTGAAGAGTTACTTGAGTTTATTCTCATTGTGAGCAAGATTTTTCTATGCAAGTTGTGTCTGCATAATTAATTCAAGAATGGCCTCATAACACTGACCTGTCTGGTGCTGAGATACTATATAACACAAGTGAGAATACTTTTCTTAAGATAAAAGTATTTTGTTTCAGTGCAATTACATTTATTTGCAATTTGTGCAAATGATTAATGTTGAATTAATTACGAGGTTTAAGTAGGAAATACATATCCAGAAGGGAGAGAACTGTTGAATATAATAGTTTCTAGCAATTGAGAAAGACCCACAACTCCAGACCTTTCTATGCTGTTTCCCAGGAGGTTTTTGGCAGTAATAATCCACTGCAAATAAATCCACCCTGTTTATATAATAGCAAAGCTGAAGGATTCTGTGCAGAATGCTATGGACTGTTCTCAGAAAGGATATTGTAGAATCTGAATGTTGCACTTCAATGAAGCACTCTTAATCCTTATTCTGATTTTATGCTCAGATCTTCTCAAGGCCCCGGTTGTCTTACACACAAACTGAGAAATAATGTCAATGGCATTGTGACTGTTTCAAAGAATCCACATCCTTAGCTGGTACTTCCTATTTGTATACCGGATTTAAAAAGATTTGATTTGTAAGAACCAGGGCAGGAGTTACAGTGTCTCTGTAGAAAATGAGACTGAACTGTAAATAGTCTCCCCATTTCTTTCATGCAGGGTGTCAGATCCTACAAGATCAGCTATAAAATTTGTGTGTCCATGAACAAAGACTGGAAGTAAATGGGTTCTTTAGTTACTAGCTGATGTCTTCGGGCTGACTAAATTTTCAGTGCCTGCAGCCCTGATGTAGAGCAATATCCTAGCAAGAAGCTCATTCCTTCTTTTCATATATACCAAGGATGGTCAGACTTGCTCAGTGGAAGAGCCATATATGGTAAATGTCAGATGCTTGAAAGCCGCAGGTGGGCAGCAGTGGCGGGCAGCAAGTGGGTGCCTGCAGGCACCAAGCAATGAACTGCAAAATTGAGTTTAAGAGGCACGTGTGACTTGTGAACCTCAGTTTGACCACCCTGGTACAGTGGTACCTCGGCTCACAAACACCTTGGTTCACGAACAGATCGGGTCACAAACAGAAATTTCTGAAAAAATTTGACCTGGGTCTCAAGCACCGCTTTGGGTGGTGACCAAGATTGCAGCCATCGCCTCCCCCCCCCCCCCGAGTGGGGAGATGGCCATGATAGTTGTTTTCGTGCAGGGAAGGCATGCATGATCAGAGGCGTGCTGCTGCAGCAAAGACGGGAGCAGCATAGCAGAGCCGTGGGGGAGATGGCCGAGATTCCACCTGTCTTTCCTGCAGGAGTGTGCCTCTGATCAGGCACGCCTTCCCTGCACGAATGGAACTGTGATTGCGCCCATCTCTCCCTCCCCCAATGCGCCCGCGATCACGCCCGTCTCCCCCCCCCCCCCCCAGCATGCCGGGATGACGGGCGCCTGCAGGGATGACAGGCACGTACAGGAATGACAGGCACCATCTCAGTCGTGCTGGGGAGGGCGGGGAGATGGTTGCGCTTGTGCTTGGGGTTGGGGGGGAGATGGCCGCGATCTTTGTTGTTGTCACTTTGCTTCACATTTTTCTGATTTAAAAAATGGTTACAGAATGAATTAACCTTATTTACTTTGAACCTTATGGGGAAATTTAACTTGGCTTACAACCAGTTTGGGTCATGACCAGAGTCCTGGAACGGATTAAGTTCGTGAGCCAAGATACCACTGTATATGCTGTCTATGGGTCTTAGTAGGTAACCTGTTGCCTTCCATCTTTTGAACTATGAGTCCCACAGTCTCTGACCATTGGTCTTGCTACCTAGGGCCTCGGGGGGTTAAGTCTTTATGAAGGCTTCCTGTTGAGTGATGCAGCTGATGATGTTGGGATGGACTGAAGTGCCATTTGTGAATCTTCTGAAGTTGCTCATCTCCCTGTGTTGTATAATATTATTATGCAGATGTGATCCCTGCATCTTCCTTGGCTGTGTTTTTCCAGAGTTGTCATGTTTTCTGTGCAACCAAGTGTTCTTCAGTTTATTGAAAATGGCATGCAAGGGTTTTTGAAGGGTTTAACTTCTTTTAAATCAGTCAGCTCTAGAGCTCTTAATATATACCCTATCTGTTTTGGAGGTATGAAGATTTCACTGTGTGCCAGATAATAACCAGCAGATCAATATTCTGTTTACAGTGGCTCTTAAGCTACATGAATGAAGAATTAATGAATGCAGATTATTACTACCTTTTTCTTTTTGCATTGCAACATGCTGGAAGGTGGCTATATTGATGGAGATTCAAAAACAACTCTCTCCATAACTCCTTTTGAATCTTCCAAATGCTGAAAGATTTCTATTTTTAGCTCCACACAAGCTACTTCCTACTCTGATGCAAGACTAGAGACAATATGAACTTTAAATGTTACACTGGTTATTCAGGGAGAAGCTGCGTGCCGTCCTTGAAGGAGAATGTGCTGTCGCTTCAATGGCACAATTAACGGAGTGTTGACAGTAATTCTGAATTACGTTGAAATTAACCTTGTTTCAGACTAGGAATATAGGAGAATTACATTAAAGGCCACCAAAATACAGTTGTCATTGAAGCAGCAACTGTAAGCAATTTTATACGCCGACGATTCTAATGATATGTTGGATTCTTCCAAATTATATCACCAACACATTTTTCTCTTCACAGAATCCAGCTGCCTCCACTTCCAGCTGGTCTGAATTAGATCTGCTCATACTGGCAGGCACGGTTGGCCATGTGTCAAGTCTGGCTGCTAGCAGCTTCATTGAAGAAGAGCACCAGACGTGGTACTTTCTCATCAATACCCTTTGCCTCGCCCTGTGCCAGGAGGTCTACGGACACTATTTCTTGACCAAAAAGCGTGATCTTCAGCTTCCCTCTGCCATCAGATCAAGTTCTGGAGAGAGCAAGGGAGTCCCTTCCTGCCACAAGGGTGACGTTGACTTCCTGCAGGCTGATTGGAAAATGAGCAAGTTCATGTCCTCTGAAAGCGCAAGAGGTTCTGAGAAGTGGATGGCCTTAGCAACTCCATGGGTCATTCTTATTAGCTGCCGGTTCCTTCGTTCCTTAAATCAGACTGGAATTCAGTGGGCTCATAGGTCAGATTTGGGACACTGGTTGACAAGGTGAATATTTGACTTATTCTGTGATTGGTGTATTTAAGTTTTGTTAATAGCTACTCATTTGGAGTGACCTTTTCCAGGTCACCAAGCAGGGAAGCATAATGGAAGGTGCTTATTTAATGTCTTCTCACTTAAATTTGCACATGTAGCTAGGAAAGCTGATAATTCTTCGCTTTAATTATTTGCAAGTATTTATAATACACGATGTTTGTACAATGCTTTTGAAAGTTCCTTCAAGTTTTCTCAGCAGTCCCCAAAATCATGGAAGATAGGTCAGTCTCACATATTCATGGAGTTCTGCTTTGCTCTTCCCAAAGGTCCTGAGCAGATTACACAAATAATTTATGCAACCATGGATGGCATTCACTCTCTTGACCACTGCATCACACTGCTGACTCATGTTTAGCCTGCAGTCAACCAGCACCCTTGCTGCTCTCCAGGCACTTGTCCCCTAACCTGTACTTTTGACACCTATTCCTATGGCCCAAGTGCAAGACCTTGCACTTACCCACATTGAACGCCATCCTGTTGTCTCCTGCCCACTTCCATAGTCTGTTCAGATCCTTTTGGATCTGGAGTACCTGCTCCTCAGTTGTGGCCACTGCTCCAGTTTTAGTATCATCTGTGGATTTGATCAGCAGACTGTTCACCCTTTCTTCCTTGTCATTGATGAAAAGATTAAACATGATCGGCCCCAGGACAGCGCCCTGGGGGACCCCGCTTGTCACTAGCCACCATCCCCCAGTGATTCCCCACTAATGGTTACCCTCTGCTTTCAGTCAGTCATTGCCCTAATCCATCAGACAGTGCTTTGGTCTATCCCAAAACTCCTCAGTTTCTCCACCAGGATATCATAGGGCACTTTGTCAAAGGCCTTGCTGAAATCCAGGTAAACCACATCCCCTGCATCCCCTCCATCTAGCCATCTTGAAACCTTGTCGTAGAATTCCACAAGGTTTGTCTAGCAGGACCTGATTTTGTGGAAACAGTGTTGTGTGGCTGCCAGCCTCCCTTCCCTATCTAGCATCACTAGATCTCTCACTATTATGAGCCATTCCATTGTTTTTCCTACAATGGACATAAGGCTAACTGGTCTGTAATTCCCCATGTCCCTTCTCCTACCCTTTTTGAAAATTGGGACCACTGAAGCCACCCTCCAGTCCTCTGGAACTTCACCTGTTCTCCACGAGGCCTCAAAAATGGAGGCCAGCGGGCGTGAGAGAAGCCCTGCCAACTCTCTAAGTACTCTTGTGTGTAACCCATCAGGACCTGGCGCCTTTATAATGTCCAATGCCCTGAGAAGCCCCTTGACTTCTAGGGGGCGGTGGTGACTCTAATCTGTGCCTCTGAGTCCCTGACCTCATCTAATCTCCTATGCGAATCTCCCCCATCCTGCTTTGGGGAGAACACAGAGGCAAAATACTCATTTAGCATCTGTGCCTGTTCCCTCGCATCGGTCACTGGATCTCCTTCCTCCTTATTTAGTGGTCCCACTACTTGTCTCCCCTCTCTCTTCCTATTTACATGCTGAAAGAAGCCCTTTTTGTTGCTCTTGATATTCTTGACAAGTCTCAGCTTGTAATCAGCCTTAGCCTTGCAAAAAATCCTTCTGCAATGGGCCTCCTCCTCCTGGTATACCCTTTTGTCTATTTGCCCCAGTACCCATTTCCTATGGAGGTCCCTCTTGTGTCTAATCCCACTGACCACCTCCTTTCGCATCCATGGCGGCACTCTCCTTTGCCTCCCTTCAGTTGGCCACAGTTGAAGTCCCAGCTTCTAGTGCTCGACCTGCTGCACATCCCTTTTTCCCTGATCTCAAAGCAAAGGATGGAGTGATCACTCGCATCCAGAGCTCCCCTAATCTGTACTTCATCTATCAGCTCCTCCCTGTTGGTCAAGACCAAGTCAAGGATGTTCCCCCACCTTGTCGCCTCTCGGACCCTCTGTGTGAAAAACCCTCCCTCTGTGTGAAAAACCCTCCCTCTATAGCCTTTAGGAAGTGACGTGATCTGGCTGTCACCACCAAGTGAGTCTCCCAACTAATATCTGGGAGATTGAAATCTTCCATAATTACTGTGTCTCTCCCCCAAGATATCCTTAGAATCTGGTCTGGCAGGACATCATTCAGGGTCTCAAGTTGTCTTGGAGGGCGATAACATACCCCCACTGTCCGGTCTCTTTTCCTGTCAAAACCCCTAAGTTTCACCCAGACTGCCTCTACCAAATCCCCATCTGTGCTGCATTCTATCTTACTGCATCCTATCCCTTCCCTGACATATAAAGCTATGCCCTCCATTTCCCTTCCTGTCCTTTCTGAAAAGGTGATACCCCTCTATTCTTGGGCTTCCACGGGAGGTGGTTGAGGCCCCATAGGTGAGGGTGTTCAAAAATAGGTTGGACATGTACATGGTGGGCATGTCGTGAGTAGAGCCAGCTGGAGACGGGGGTCAGACTAGATGGCTCGGGAGACCCCTTCTGACTCACTCTGTTTCTATGTTTCTATAATTTATCCTTCTTATTATCGTAATTTTTTTTCCTGCCCCTTCTGCATCCATCCATCCATTGATTGTTTTGGGACTTACTGGGAACGTGAAGGGAGAAAAGTCATTGATGAAAAGTGTTAGCCTCCAAGCAGACTGGAGGCTAAGACTGAATTAACCCTTCCCAATCCTGGTTTTCTGATGTGACCCGCTGGCTTCTGCAGGCAACCCTGTCTGACGGCACAAGGTCCAGTATGGTGGTTCATGCTGGTGCTGAGTGCCACTGCTGGCATTAAAACAACCCCAGTCCCTGAAGTCCCAAGCACTTCAGCCCCTTGGGAATGATTGGCCGGTGATCCCACTGAAGCCCTTGCCTTGGGCTTCCTTTCTGCTCTTCTGAGTTCAGCATGGGCATGCAACCTTGGTCTTGAAGCAGCATAGCGCAACCCAAAAGCGTTGCGTACCTCTTTGTGAGCCTCCTCACTTTCGCAGCAAAGCAAACAATTTGGATTTGGGGAAGACTGGGTAGAAGAATGAGGGAGAAGTATTGAATGAGGAAAAGGCTGGTCAGATTCTGAGCACGCAACAAATGCTTAAAAGAGGCAAATCATTTTGCAGAAAAAAGTAGCAAATACTGTGACAAACAAATGAAAGGGGTTAAAACAGTCTAGCTAGCACAGCCCTGTGCTAAGTGGCCTGCATGGCTCCTTGAAGACCTGCTACATCCATGACAATCTTTTCCTGGTGCCTGTATCAAGTCTTCTTGCATTTGATTGGAGGATGGGCACCTGTACACACCTGAGCACCTGTACTAGAAGGATTGTGGGCAGTCTCTCAATTTCCAATTTGTTCTTGGCACCTCGCCTGGAAGAGAAAGATCCTCCACTGGGCCCTCCCACATTGTCTGGGTGGATAGTCCAGAAGAATCTCTTGTTTTTGTCTGTTGATTTTTGGGTAATGGCTCATCTGCATCTTTGAGAAGGGAGCTGGAAGATTCCTGTTGTTCAGGCACCTAGCAATTTTACTGAATAGGTTGGTTAAATGGTCCACAGATGATCTCAGTCAGGTCTTCAGCATTGCAATGCCAGTGCTAGGTGACCTGACTTTTCACGTCACCAGAGATCTACAACTGATTGCAAAAGGACCCAGGGAAGATGGAGTTAGTATGATCTCTCTGGGTGGACCACTCAAGGCTGAGCATACCATGTGCAGATGTTGTGAACTGAATTCACGGCATTCTTGAGCGTTGGCCATGCTAGCTGGGTCCTGGACCAATTGGGCCTGTATTTCAGAGTACAGGGCACCACGTGAGGAAAGCTGTGCTCATAGTTTGGAGGGGTAGGAAGAGAGAAGCGGGAGCAGACTTCCAGCAGCTCTCGCTCTTCTTTCCCATGGTTGAAGCTAGGCTTGTCTTCTCCTTACCATTCTTACTTGCTCCATTTTTACCTTGGTACCTTGCCTAAGGTTAAGTTCAGGACAGAGACCAGATCTGGACATCACTGCTGTATCACACTGCTATGCTAACTCCAGCAGCTGGTGAGCAAACCAGGCCTGGAGGCAAAACTCAGCCTCCTTGGAGTGCCCGTGCCCCTTTCTCCTGACAGCCAGTTGTTTGTGGAGGTTTCCTGAGTTTGTGTGGTTCTACTTCCTATTTTAAAGGGTGGGCATTGTTGCTGGCTGTGAGAACCTTACATTAGGGCATGTTTAATACATACATGTTTGTATTTTTGCTCCTGCTGCTTTTGCCTTTCGGCCCTGCCTTTCACTAGAGCTTTATTGAAAATGAATTCAGCCTTCTGGCTGAGAGGGGCCCTGGATCTATGAAAACTTTTACTTGGGACTTAGTTCAGGCTGAACCTTTTTAAAGATGTGGATCTTCAGGTTTTGCATCTTTTCCTTAAGCTTCCCTCTTCTGGAGCGCACATTTTGACAGCAGGCTTGTTCAGCTTGTGAAACGTGCTGTATAGAGCAAATGTGCGCTGTTTGTGATCTTGTGCCATGAGTGCTGGGTGCCAGCCATTTCTGGCAGCCCACCAGAGTCTAGATGGAGGGTGTTCTGAGTTGTGTGAGCTCTGTGCTAAAAATAAAATGAAAAGGATGCAGCAAGGCAACCCAACTTCTGTGATGCAAAAAGCTAAATTCTGCTGCTTGTGTAAATGGTGTAAGCTTTTGAGTTGTCTCTCGCCTTACATAATTCTGTAACTCTGCGGTTGATACTATTTTCATATTGCTTTCTGTACCACGGCTAGTTGCGGGGCGGAAGGAGCTGACACTTTGAGGTTTTATCAGGTATTACCCATGCACTTTCAAGCATATCTTTGTTGCCCTAATGGCTAGAAAATTGCTATTATTTTAAAAGAAAAGCTAGGATTATTGGGAAATGGTGGGTAATGCCACTTCTGCTGCTCTGCTGGGCTCCTGATGAATTGTGGTCAACGCAGAGCCCTGGAAAATGCAGACCTCTCTGCTGACTTGATGGATCTGGTCAGGTTTTGAGAACAATTGACTTTTCTCCCTGGTAAGAAGCTGATCTTGATGTCTCATCATAGAAGAGAGTCAGTGCTTTCCAGGTAGTTGCATCTGGTAGCTGGTGACTTTCCTTAGAACAAGAGAAGCCAAACTGGCTGCAGAAGGCTTTCCATTGGTGTAGGGGCACAAGAAAGTAGGAACATTGGCTTCAGGACTACAAAGCCTCAGGGCTGGCCTTCTGGGGTTCCCAAGAAGGAAAAACGGGTCAGGGCCTTTATTATCTATTTATTTATTTAAAACTTTTATATGCTGCCTCCTCATGCCTCGGTATCTCGGGATGGCTTACAACAAGCCAACGGCTTTAGTAAAGCCCCTTCCCTTTTCTTCTGCCTGCTCATCATCAGGGGTTTTCTTGGCCTTCGCACTTCTCCTTCCCTCATTTTTAAATGGGGTTTTCTCTTTCTTGAGCCTGCTCTTTTCCCTTTCTGCCCTACCCACCACTGGGATGTAGCTCAAGAGAGCTTTTCTGAAATAGATTTTATCCTTGGGGTGAAAGCAGCTCAGGCCAGAATGCAGTGAGATGTTTTTTCTCCCTTGCAAGCTTATCAGGAATCCCTTAATATCAGGTGTAAGAGAAAAGTATCCCTGAAGGACCGCTTGTCCACCTCCTTTTCCTGCCACGTGGCGTGGCAGGGAGTCTCTTGGGACATGTTCTAGCGGACCCCTTCGGTTATAATGGATGATATTAAGGCTTGGTGGGCTTGAGCAACATGCTTCCCAGAATGCTTTGCAACATGCAGGGGTTTCATGGTATTATGAAGGCTTGTGTTAATAGAAGGCTTAAGTAGAAGATTGAATGTGAATAGTGCTGTATGCCACTCGTTAGCTTAGAAAAATCAAGGTGATTTTACAGGAAAGTTTATAAGCAGAAAATATAAGCTACAAAATAATGTAACTAAAAATAGCAGTAAAATTGGCCATCAAAAGTTAGAGTCAGGGAAACTCTTTGCATAAAAGAGTGAGGTGAATGTGCCAGGTGAGTCTTCCTGAGGAGAGGGCTCCACATGCGGGACGCCATAACTGAAAGAGCTCTTTTAGGTTGCCTCTGCTTCAGCTCCTGGAGTGGGTTGTTCGCTCAGTGGATTTGGGTCCCAGGACATGTACAGTGTTAATCATTAACAGTTTATAAATTGATAAGCATGTCAGGTTGCTTATAAGATCAAAGCCATGACCATCTGGTCAGATATTATTGGATTAATTTCAGTTATTGCGGCCTGATGATGTGGACAAGGTGCTTGGACAAGTACATCCCACCACCTGTTTACTCGACCCTTGCCCGTTGTGACAACTGACCAAGGCCAAACACGGGATTGGTGCATGGATCCTGGAGGTCATTAACGCCTCTCTGAGGGACGCCAGGTGCCTGCTTCTCTAAAGGAGGTGGTGATCAGGCCAGTCCTAAAGAAGGCGTCCCTGGATCCAGAGATGGCCGCCAATTATAGACTGGTGGCCAACATCCCGTTTTTGGGCAAGGTGTTGGAATGGGTGTTGGTGGGACAACTCCAAGCACTCTTGGATGAAACTGATTATCTGGACCCATTTCAGTCCGGCTTCAGACCTGGGTATGGTACTGAATCTGCCTTGGTCGCCCTGTATGATGACCTGTGCAGGGAGAGAGTGCGTCCCTGTTGGTCCTCCTGGACCTCTCAGTGGCTTTCGATACCATCAACCATGGTATCCTTCTGGATAGGTTAGCAGAACTGGGAGTAGGAGGCACTGCTTGGCAGTGATTCTGCTCCTACCTCGACGGCCAATTCCAGAAGCTGGTGCTGGGGGACTTTGGCTCTGTGCCATGACAGCTATGCCATGGAGTACCTCAGGGGTCCATTTTGTCCCCCTTGCTATTCAACATCTACATGAAACCACTGGGAGAGGTCATCAGGAGGTTTGGGCTGTGAAATCATCAGTATGCTGATGATACCCAGCTCTACCTCTTTTTTTCAACCGATCCAGGTGAGGCAGTGGCTGTACTGAACCGGTGCCTGGCCGAGGTAATGGGCTGGATGAGGGCCAGTAAACTGAAGCTCAATCCAGACAAGATGGAGCTCCTGTTGGTGGGTGGTTCGAGCTCCTGAGTAGGTGACTTGAACCTTGTCCTGAATGGGGTTGCATTCCCTCTAAAGGACAGGGTCCACAGCTTGGGAGTGTTCCTCAACCTGGAGCTGTCCCTGGAAGCTCAGGTGACAGCGGTGACGAGGAGCGATTTCCTTCAGCTTCGGTTAATCCATCAGCTGCGTCCCTACCTGGAGGACGATTGCCTAGCGACAGTGACACATGCATTGGTTACCTCCAGGTTGGATTTCTGTAATGCGCTCTATGTGAGGCTGCCCTTGAAGACAGCCCGGATACTTCAGATGGTGCAAAATAGAGCAGCCAGGTTGCTGATGGGGACTGGGCGTTACTTTCATATAACCCCAGTCCTCTACCAGCTTCACTGGCTTCTCATTGAAGTCCGGGCTCAATTCAAGGTGCTGGTTATTACTTATAAAGCCCTTAACGGCTTGGGACCTGGGATGACTAAAGGAACGCCTTCTTCCATATTTGCCCTCCCGCCCCCTGAGATCGGCAGCAGAGATCCTCCTCCGGGAACCCTCCATGAAAGACATTAGGAGGCAAAGAGTACCCAGAGGAGGGCTTTCTCTGCTGTGGCGCCCCGCCTATGGAATGCACCGTTGTTGTTTGTTTTCCGGCGCCAGGCTTAGACCTTTTTATTTCAATGATATTTTAATAACTTTTAATATCAGTTTATAGGTTTTAATATGCAGCCAGGGTGGATCTTGATTTTATCTGTATTATGTTTTATTTTATTTATGTAAGCCGTTCCGAGGCTATGCAATGGGACAGCATACAAATGCTATAAACAAACAAACAAACAAACAAATAAATGGTGCTGACTGAAATAAGAAATAAATAAATAAAAGGTGCTGACTGAAATAAGTGTTGAAAGGCCCCTGATGTAATGTATTGTGTGAGACTTGAGATGATCAAGAAAATCATTTCAGGGTTTCTTGAGACAAAGAAGTACATGAATACTTAAAGCATGATTTACAAGGTTTGACAGTAAGAAACAAACTTGTTTTTAATTGTGAAGGTTCTGGAAAGCTGGCATCATCAATTGTTTGGTGCCTTCTTATAATGAACTATTTTACACTATATTTAATAATATGCTGCCAGTCAAGGGACTTTATAAAGGCAGAAAATGGTCTGAGAATTGAGGGTATGAGGATTGTTCTTTCCAGGAATCGAAACTCTCCAACTCTTCTGCCTTCTCATGAGTCTTTTATAAGGTTGATGGAGGCCACAAATAAATGAACTTGCTGTAGCAGAATCATCTACAATGGAATTAATTGAAATTATTATTTTATGTTTTACAGCTCTGAGCATAAAGCTGAACTTTCCCTTCTGGCATCTGTCTCCCTAGTTCTGATCTTTATTCTTGTTCAGCAGAGATGTTCTCTGGTTTCGAAAATAGCCATGGCACTTGGACTCTTGGGAGTGTACAGTTACCGGGCAGCCACTGGAATGGTGGAATTTCCATGGCAACAAGAAAGTATTTCAAAGTAAGTTCAAAGTAAGTTCATTAGCAGCAGTGTAAATGTACTTAACACTGTGAGGTCTAAAGGAGATGTTCTGAGCCTGGTCTGTGCCAGTTCAGGCATGTGCTTTAAAACAGTGCTGCGTATACTTGTTACTTATGGGATCTTCTTTGCATTTTTATTAAATCCCTGAGATCCACTGTTCAGATTTTTAATGCATTGTATGTTACCCTGAGAATGATGGTTATTGGGATGTTTAAAAGAACTGTGTATAGATAAAAGGTTAATAAAAGCTTATCACAGTGGACCCTTGAAGCATTATGCATGAACTCCACTCTTAATCTGCATGCTTCCAAATAGAAGCACACAGCGACGATGACCTTGTGCAATCTCGTTGAACTGTGGCTCTTGTCAAGCCCCTAACAAGCTGACTTATTCCTAAGCAGTTCTTGGGCCAATGGAAAGGACTTCTTGGGAAATGAAGGGCTGATTTAGTGCTTTTGCTTAGCCCTGCTGTGCCGCTGTCATTCATTCTCTGCAACACACCTGTCCAGATTGCTAACGGATATGGAACATTCTATGTGCTTTGTTGAATGAAGGGGCTGATTTACAGCTGCTATATAGGAAGAGCCCTGCTGGAGCAGACCAAAGATCTGTCTAGTCCAACATTCTGTGTCTAACAGTGGCCAGTCAATTGTTTCTGAGAATTTAGAAACAGGGCAAGAAGATGGCAACTCTCCTCTGCTGGTTGCCTCCAGCATCAGGTATTCAGAGTTGCTTCTCAGTATGAAGGTTATATTTAATTCCTGAGGCTATGTGCTTGGCACACTCTTTCTCCTTTCTACCCAGTCACAGTAGTTCCAAGCCTAGGATGATGATGATGATGATGATGATGATGATGATGATGATGATAAAGAGAGAGAGGTCGGTCCATAATATGTAGCTTTGCACCCTGTAGCATTGAAGGTATACTTAATCGCCTGGAGGTATTGCTATTCATCATAGATGACCAGCCAAGTGTTCAGTGACAATGCTGTGTATGGTTAAAAATCACTTTGGGAGGAAGGTTCCAGAAGTCTCTCCATTATCTGGTCAATAGCTTAACAGCTCTGTGACAAATGACTTTGGGGAGACTTCTAAGTCTGGCGCATAATCCACTGAACTTTCAAAAGTGTAGTTCAGAGAATGGTTCTTCCTCCCTTGGAGCAGCTGGTTTAACACTGCCGTTATGGTGTGAAAAGCAGGTCATGGATGCATGAGACCGGGAGGCTTCTGAAGTACAGCTTGACAATGCTACATTTGTAAGTTCATTGAAGCATTCATTCTGACCGCTGAATTCAGAAGCCATTTGGGTCTGTAGAGTAAAAGTGAGTATGGAATAGCCCACTAGAATCAGTGATGCCTGTGTCATTCGGGCTTCTCATCCGCAGCAGCTTCTCTTTTCAGCTTCCCGGGAGTCATCCCTAGTGCTGAACCTCTTTGGGGAGTGGTGCTCAGCCTTTTGGAGAGCCCCTGTAAAGCGCAAAAGATCAGTAACAGATGCGGAGTTCCACTGTTACAGCCGTTGCTGGCCTCCCCGACCAGAATGGATTCCTGTGACATTTGGGAGATGGGCTAGAATAAGTGGTTTTTCTGTAGCTAGATTCAGTGAGCATTTGCTTTAAAATGCCAACTGCTCAGACTGGGAGGCATTGTGTCTAATGAAGTGATCACATTCTAAGAGCAAATCTCTTGTTCGTCCCCAGTCGAGTCATTTTTCACCAGGAAAGTGTCCAGCATTTGCTGATACTCCCTCCGCCTTTCCCCCTTCTTCTGCATGGCTTTGCTTGTCTCATAAAGCTGGCTTAGTTTTACATAGGCAGCTGCAGGCAAGACAAGAAGGGCAAGGTCTGGGATAAAAATAATGTCAGTCGCAGTGTATTCATCTAATAGACTTACTTGGCACCATTTGATTGTGGAAAGTGGAACTCGTTTTCCAGTGGTCATTTTTTTTATTGGTAAGGCAATCTTCTTCTGCAGGCTGGCAAGTTGGAAAAAGGGCAGATTGGGGGAGAGGGAGAAGAGTTAGCTTTACTTGACACTTATGGGGATGGTGCTTTGAGCAAGGATGGCTCGTGTCGGACGGAACTGCAGGCAAGCTCTCTGGTGACAGGCCATTTTGACAGCTGCCTACAAAATGCGTAGCAGCTATATAAAGTTCCCTCTGATAGTTCCATCTCCATCAGCATGTTAATTCCAATTAGTTGAAGCCAGCCTTCCCCAACTTGGTGCCTCCTAGGTGTCTCCCTTCTTTTTCTCGTTTCCTTTCTGGAAGCTACTTCACCTCTCAGCATCCATGGTAGCTGGGGCTGGCAGGCATTGGAGTCCGAAGCATTTTGAGGACCCCAAAATGGGGAAGGCTGGGGCAAACTCCAGAACAAGGCTTTAAATACTGCCCCTATCTTCCCTTTTGAATATAGGGACTAGTTTAAGTGACTATTTCTGGGTAAACTGATGCCCTCCAGATGTTTTGGACTGTAACTCCATAAGCCCTAGCCACCCTGGCCAGTATTCAGAGTGTTGGGGTGCAAAACATCTGAACAGCACCAAGTTGCCTTACGCTTGACATATACAGTGCATTAAAGGTCTCTGATGGAAATGCTAGAGACAGTTTTGCTGTAAACTGAAATGGAAAATGCCTTAAATATCACGTATTTCTTAAAACTGAGCAAGGCCTGGTGTGTTTAATAATAAAATAATAATATCCATCTCAGTTAGTGGGCGGTATAGAACTCAAACAATCCAACAAACAAACAAGTAAAATACAGGGACAGGGTGCGCCCCCAAAAGCGCTGAGGTAGCCCACAAGCTTTTATTAGTCCTTTTGTCAGGTGGTCACTCAGGTCTTTCATTTTATCCTGCATATTGTTTTTGCTTGCTCTCTCATTCTCTGGGATACCTGGCCACCCTAAGTGTAGGCCTACCAAGTCTGCTCAGTGCTGCTTATGAATACACTGTGAGCCCTAGGCTGTGTGTGTGTGTGTCTGTGGGGTGGGGTGGGTCTGATGGCAGATTTTCTGGCTTCCTCAGCAGATGAGAAGCTGCAGAAAGCTTTTCCTCAAGGTAAAAAGCTTGAAAACCACTTGCTAATGGAGTTGGCTGTAGCCACTGTTGAAAACAGAGTGTGATCTTTTTTCTTTAAGTGTAGCTATTTAAAGTTTAAGCGCTTGTCATCTTTCTAGCTCAGATTCTCTTAAAACCCTTAGAAAGTCGAATTCATCAAGTCCTAGTGTGTTACAGCAGACCAACTCTTTGATTCATCCTTGTTGTGCGTGACGCCCACATTCCTGCTGGTGCTCAAAAGATATGTGAATAGTGTAAATCAGTCCCATCAACCCGTTCCTCTTATTTTTAGGCCTCTCCTCCCTCTTGAGATACTTGAATGAGTTTGGCAGGGGACTGATTGATCTAAAATGCCTCATCTTTCCTGGAAGTGGTTTCAAGAGAGGAGGCAGGAAATGGGGACCTGAGAACCACGACTCTCCTCCCTAGTTCTCTGTTTGGAAGGCAGCTCTGGACATCCCCTCAAGAGAAAGACACCACTGAAATAGGATGCCCAAATGTGGCTCTGGAATTTGAGCCCATGGGCCACAGTATGTTTACCCATAAAATCAAATATTTTGTATATATTTAAAATTAAAATATTAGCAATTTTCATTGTGTCTATGCATGTATATGCATTCACCATTTGTAGTAGGGATATCTTGCCAAGTTTCTCAAAATGCATTTTTATTAAGAAAAAGCAGCATTTCTCAACCGTATGCACAGAGATGTGACAGATTACAAAAATCAGGTGTGGGTAGGGTGGGAAAACAAGCCCAAACCTGCAGCATCAGACAATGATGCATTTAACATCTGAACAGCCTCAATCCTAAGACTACACTTGCAAGTAAGTTTTACTGAGTTCAATAGAAGCCAGTCCCTAGTCAACAGAAATATTAGCACTTCAGCACTGGGTTGTATCATGACAGGAGCTGGCTCTCCTGTAAAACTCCCTATAGCTGAATAACCCATGCAACCATCATGTGGATGGGGGAAAGCCTGGTGTGTGTAGCGGGAGTGGAGCCCAAGCTGTGGACCAGGAAGTGTCCAGTTCTGCTCTTGCCTGAGTGTCTAACCCTGTGCAGTTCTCAGTATGGGGATAACACTGAGGCTCCTATTTGTTTGGGATTGCCATGTGGATTGGCCTTCTTGCAAGTGATGCTGGGTAGCTTTTATATAATGTAGCTCAATGAGTGTTCTGGCAACATATGCTCTTTTCCTTACAGTGTCTCAAAAGAGTCTATGTTTTGCTCTTAAAAGCATTTGAATTATTTAGTTATCCTTCTATCCCAGTTTTCCTCAGAGAAACTCAGCATGGACTTCCAGACACCGACCAGACAGAGACCTGCTCCTTTGTTATTCATGTAACAGCACCACATGCCCTTTGACTAGAACCTTTAGGGGCTAAAACAGACATTAATTCAAAACTTCGTGTAACACCCAGTTTAAAAAAAAACTCCTCCAGAGTAGATGTAAGAGGCCCAACTTGCATCTTAAAGGCTCCCTCTGCACTGGTTGTCCGATATTGCCCTGGGGTTCCTGTTCAGACTCGGTGCCTAGCTACTTTTAAAATGAAAAAAGGCCATGAGATACAGATTCAAAGTGTTGTTTGTTCTGGTCTTTGACACCATTGTCTCCCTATTCTAGGCCTTGCAGCCTGCAGCAGATTAAGAACCTGCTTCAAGCCTTGGAATGTAGGAAGGGCGAAGGCCCAACTCTGCCTCAGCAGAGAACAGGCCAAAGATGGCTGCCACTCTATGCCAGCTTCAAGATTTAATGCTGAGTGACATGCCTGCAGCTCAGGGGTCTGGCAGAATTATAGCACTGTTCTTTAGAATCTTTCTGTTTGGATTGTGTCTTGAAATGCAATGCTGAGTTTTATGACCCTGTCTGTACTCCTAATTGAACTACTCATTTATTAGAATTGCAACTGTCATTATATGCTTTTCGGTGCCATGTCAAGACCTTTTTATTCACCCAATATTTTAATGTTCAATAGATGCTAATTATTTTTATTTCAGTCGTGGGTTATTTGGTTTGGAGTATTTATGATATTTATATTGCTGTATTTATTGATTCTGTTGTGAGCCGCCCAAAGATCCAAAGTGATTGGAAGGGCTAGAAATATCCCAAATATTTATTATTTAATTTATTTATTTAAAGTTTTTATATGCCATCCCCTTGCTACATAGCCTCAGGACGGCTCATTTATTTAAATAAATAAATAAACCACTGTAAACTTTCTGTCCCATGAACTCTGAAGGATTGCTTGTGTTCCTATCTGAGTGTAAATGAGTTTGTTGCTGTTGGAGTTACCAGAGAAGCAAGCCTGATACCAGGTTGCTAAACTTATAGTGCAATTATACACATGTGGACTCAAGTGAGTTCCACTAAATTTAATGTGATTTATTTTCTGGTCTAGGATTGCTACTTTAATCCATTTCCCCCCCTTTCCCTGGAACTGGCCTATAAAATTGTGCTGCCTGCAATGGCCCACCAGGAAGCTTTTGATGCGTAGCCTTGGTTTATGTCTATCATAGCAATGTATTTCTTGATGGAATGTACCTCATGGGACAATTTTGCTGTCAATAATGGTGTTCCAAACCTCCTGTCTTACCTTGCTTTGTGGTGATGCCTTCTCTAGGTTCAATAGTAGGCTTGTCACATGCTACATTCATCATGTCCATTCTCTTTCTCTCTCTTAGGGGCATAATTGAAGCACGATTCGTTTATGTCTTTGTTCTTGGCATCATCTTCACAGGCGCCAAAGACTTGCTCAAATCTCAGGTTCTCTCCGCAAACACAAAGATAAACTATGCAGGTCTGTGGGAAATGTACAGTGGACTGGTCTTGCTGGCAGCACTGCTCTTAAGGCCTCACAACTTGCCCATTTTGGTCTTCTGTCTGCTCTTTCAAGCCATGTTGACAAAGTACATCTGGAAGCCACTGGAGTTTGATGCAGCTCAAGTTACTATAATCCACTACTGGTTTGGTCAAGCTTTCTTCTTTTTCCAGGTGAGCTAAGGCTGTCTTTAGAAGGAACTTCCAGTTCATGATTCCAAGCAGTTCCTGGTCTCAGTTCAAAGTGCAGAGGCTTACTTCAGAAGTAGGGGTGGGTAACTTGTGGCTCTCTGGCTGTGTTGGCCTGCTGTTCATGTCAGCCCTGGCCCACATGCCTGACAGTGAGGGATGATGTGAGTTGTAGGGCAAAACATCTGGAGGACCACAGGTTCACCAACCTTGTCCTAGCTTCTCACAACTTAGGAAAGGTTTGGGCTAGAGTCAACAAAGAGTTCTGTCAGAGGGTGCCTTTGAAAAAGGTTTTGATCCATGGATTGGCAGATCCCATGACTACAACTGCCGTTCCTTCCATACTTCTCTTTGGCCTTAATATTCGGGGGTGGGGGAGCAATTATAGAGGCCGGTTGTCCATTCCAGTTGCCATTCCCATCCTTAACCAATTTTGAGTCAGAATCATGAACATCTTTTCCCCTACATATGACCCAATACACCCACATTCGAGGAGGGGAGTCAAGAGTCTTGATCTTTTTGAGAGTGAAAAAAAGAACCTTTGAAACTCTGGCTCTTTGGGCATTCTCGCCAACCGCCTTTGAAGAGGGTGGAAACATGAGAGTGGAAACATGTTAGCTGGCCCTAACTGCTCTGTCATAAACCCTTTTCCTCATCTCCATGATCTTTCCTGCTTTGCAGCAGAATTTCTGCAATGGGGCAGCCTGTAGGTTCCCTGCACAATTTTAAAAATACAGGATTTATAAAGGTTTTGGTCTTTACAGGTAAGAATCAGCACCTTGAATTGAGCTTTGAAACAAATGAGAAGCCAGTATCACTGTTGCCTGGCGTATGCTTTATAGGCCATGCAGGAGCTTAATTGCTGTATTTTCTACCAGCTGTCCTTTTCAAACACTCTTCAGTGGTAGCCCTGTATTGGGTGCACTGATGAACCATTGTGCCCAGATCCACTTTCTCCAAGAAGGGGCACAGCTAGTGCATCAGCCCAATGTGGGCAAAGGTGCCACTGGCCAGAGCAGCCAGCCGGCTCTAGGAGCAATGCTGGGTCCAAAACTACCCTCAAGCTGGAATAGAATCCCATTCAGAACAGGCTGATACCCCCCAAATCTTGGCTTGGCTTTGAAAGGAAGTCTTTTGGCAGCTGTTTCTGGGCTTTCCATCCTCTTTTCAAAGACACTTGACAGTTGCAGTGATTTTCATTTTCATTTATTAATTTATTTTTTAGCAAGCTTCTGGATTCTGCCATGATAACACGTTTGTCAGTTATGTTTATCTGATAAATTTTGTTTGTTCTTTTTCATTCCCAAGCTGGAATTTTTAGGGCCAAAAGGGAGCCTATGAAAACACATTTTTGATTATCATCGTGGGAGCATTAAGTATTTTTTGGGCAAGCTTTAGTGAAACCATGACCTGCTTCAGCCATGATCTCTTAAAACCACTTGGCAGGGGATTTCTGCAAGGGGGAAAATTACCAGATCTTATCAGCTTCAGTTTCCAGACATTTGGATGGAGTCCTTTGCAAAGCTTAACTGCAGTGCTGCTGCAATGTATCCTCATATGCGAAGGAGGGAAATGGCGTGAAGTATTTCTCTGATGATAATTTAGACAATGTTTGTGGTGACTGGCCATTTTTTCTGAGGAACAGAAAATCCTAAAAAACAGAAAATACCTATTGTTGTGCAGAACATGCTGGTGTTGGTGGTGGGGTGTATAAGGAAACTCTCTGGGTAACTTCTTGCCTGTCATTTTACTACTACATGTTCTTAAAATAAAGCAGAGACTTGTATCCCACCCATCTACTTTATGGAGGCACTTGGAACAGCTTCCAGCAAAGCACATGTCCAAGCTGACTTTATAATACCTGCTACAGCATTAATAGCTCTTGTAAGGGAAACAAACCACTTAAGGTGATGCGCACTGCTTTATTTTAAAACCTGTCCTGGTCTCTGTCCCTGTAGCTGTAAACATCGAAACTCCATAGTTGGGAAATGCTTTTATTAGTGTCAGCCAGACTGTCGTAAAACAGCATGCAAGCCTCAGAACTGAACATGAGGCTGGACATTGAGGAGGGGTTATGAAAAAGTCCAAAAATTAGGTCAGGTATTGTGGCCCTGAGATCTGCCAATTAGACTCCCTCTCTAGACATCAAGTTCTGGAGCACAGTACATTCTGGGACATTAAATGACTGACCCCAGTTTGTGAAAACATTCAGTTCCCGTATTTTTCGCTCCATAAGACTCACCTGACCATAAGACGCACCTAGTTTTTAGAGGAGGGGTCCATGGAAAGCTTCCTGATAATCACAGGCACATTCCTTATCACTTCCCCATGGGCTTCATTAAAAGATGGGTTGCCATTTGAAAACACACCCCGACCTGTGATTAACAGCTCTCACCTACGCCGGAGGAGGGGGACGGAGCAGGGCGCGCCGAGCTCATGCCGGCCAGGTGTGGTGCAGCCAGGCCGGCAGCATGCCGGCAGTGGTCTTCCAGGCGGCGCAGCAGTGGCAGGTCTTCCTGGGCGGGGGGGGTGAGCAGTCCATGCGGCCGGCAGGTTAAAGCCCTTGGCTCCTCCTCCTCTGCGGCAGGTCTTCCCGGGCAGTGGGGGTGAGCAGTCCGTCTCTCTGTGCGGCCGGCGGGTTAAAGCCCGTGGCTCCTCCTCCTCCGCGGCAGGTCTTCCCAGGCGGTGGGGGTGAGCAGTCCATCTCTCAGTGCAGCCGCCCTCCTCCGCACCGCTCCCCCTGAGCAGCACAGCTCTCACCTGCGCGGGGGGGGGGGGGGGCGGAGCAGTGCGCACTGAGCGTGTGCCAGCCAGGTGGTGCCACGTGGTGCAGGCGGGCCGGCAGCGTCCCGTGCGTCAGGCACACACACATTCGCTCTATAAGACGCACAGACATTTCCCCTTTTGAGGGGGAAAAAAGTGCATCTTATAGAGTGAAAAATATGGTATCTCTCTTGTCCTGGTCAAAGTACATATGTTCTTGGGTAGGCAGAGAACACAGGTAAAAAGCAAAGGCAGCAGTCTCTGCATTAGCAAAGCTGGAGATTTAATTTTAGGTAGTGAATATTTTTTAAGGTGCTGTAAAATTAAAGCCAAACTAGTTTTACCTAGAATGGTTGAAAGGAATGAAACACTCAAAAGTTCCTCTAAGTGAGTAGAAAATCATCTTGCTTAGGTGGTAGATTCCTCCCTGAACAGCTAAATATGGTATTCTCTGAGGCACTGGTAGGCATAAGCTCTCTTGATATTGCTTCACTATTAATAGAAGTGCATCCTCCAGCCCACCCCCATGGAAGCAATTAAGCTTTCTTCCCTTGTGTTTGCATTAAAAGAAGCTTGACAGATTAACAGGCAATCTCTCTCTAAAAAAAAGAGTTCATGTGATCAGTCCTGTAGTAGAAACTTGAAACTTTAACAGCCTTGGGAATACTATTTTTGGAATACTATTAAATTAAACTCTGTTGCCTTTTCTCTTAGTGCTCTTGTATTACACTGTTAGGAATTGAGCTGTGTCGACATGTATGTAGATTGCATCTTTATTAATTATGGATCCCCCCTTTCTTATTAAGACCATATAGATTGTTCGTACATATTTTGGGTTTAATTGAATTCTTCATTACAGACTGCCCGGCTTTCCTGTAGACATTTTGACTAGTGACCCTGAAGTTTTGAGGTAGCCAGTAAGAGTATCTTTAAAGGGGAGGGTTTTAAAATATACTATTGAAAGCATGCCATCTGTTCTTGCCCCCCAGTCCTCTCTAAGTTGTGGCCTTCCAGATGCTTTGGCCTACAGCTTCCATAAGCTTTGATCACCCTAGCCAATTGTGATATGAGTGATATGCCTGTATATCTGGAAGGCCACAAGTAGTTCACTCTTCTTGTGGATTAATGACTTTCCAACTTCTGCACCTCAGTTTTGCTTCAGGTGATAGGAAAGTGTTTTCTGGGCACTGAATGGACAGTGCATTGCAAAGAGAGAGAAATAGCCTCTGGCAAGCTGTGTTTCCAGGAAAGCTTATCTATGCTTATGTATTGTATCAATTGAGAAATCCCTGATAAGCTTCTGAGGAACTTTGAGTTTCTAGGAGACATCATTTAAGCCAATGCCTTGCAGACTTTTTGTTTTTTCCAGGCTTGTGAGCTGGATGTAGCCTCTTGGGTTGTTTAGTAGCTTCCTGGCTTATGCATGCTGTTTGTCATTTTTTTAAGGTCCTAAGGCCCAGGACTTTCTCATTAGTCTGGTCTCCTAGCAGGTTCACCTAAGGTGTAATGGTCAAGGCTGAGACAGCAGACGAAACTGCATCCACCCTCTTAAGGTGTGACAGTCACATCAGCAGAAGAGAATGAATCTCTGGCAGTTTTGGGGACAGAGAACCTTCTGAAGGGCAGCTTCTGGGCACCAGTGGTAGTTGAAGGCAATGCTGGCAGTGGATCTTGCACAGACAATGGAAGTTATAGTCAAGCTAATTCTGGTTAGTACTGAACAGAACAAGGCAATGGTAAACCACTTTTGGATGTTTTCTGTCTTGAAAGCCCTATGATGAAACAATCCAAACTGAAACAAGAGTCTGAAGATGAAACTCTCAGGTCAGAAAGCACCCAGTCAGCTACTGGGGAAAAGCAAAGGATGAGTAGGAATAGCGCTGTCACTAATGACACAGCTAGATCAAAACTGAAAGCAGAAATAGTGGCTGACATGCACAGAAGTGAAGGAAAGTCTGGTTTTGCACAACACATGCAATTGAAACACGAAATGTGAGACATACGAATCAAAGCAAACTGGAGCGCATACAGCAAGAAATTGAAAGGTTAAGATCACAGTATTTGGTGTGAAGAAAGGAAAGTGGACTGGAATTTTCTGTCAGACAAACACAAAGTATTCTGCTCTGGAGATAACAAACTCAGAAGAAACAGAAAGACTCTTAGCACTGTAGCAGGCAGTAAGGGACTCTCATTCAAAGTCCAGCTGAATAATATCAATCAGAATGTGTGGAAAACCTATCAACATAACCATCATTCAAGTCTATACTCCAACAATAGATGCCAAAGAAGATGATATTGGAAATGTTCATGCATATGCCCAAGAGAAAATTGATAATGCACCAAAACAAGGCATGCTGAAAATAGTAACTAGAACATGAAGGTGGGAAACAAAGCAGAGTCCAATTTTGTGGAGAAGTGGCCTAGGGGTCAGAAATGAAGCAGGAGAATGACTCAATTCTGTGGAGCCAACCATCAGTTTCTCACAAATGCATCTTCAGGCAACCAATCAAAATTTAAATAAACTCTTTAACTGGAAGAAGCTGTATTCTTGCTGTAGCAGCAAGACCAGGAGCAATTTGTGGTAGTGACCATAAACAGTTTATATCAAAAAATCGGGGTAAAAGATCACTAACAGGAGCATATTGCCCAAATACAATTTAACATTTGTGGGCAATTTAAAGTCCACATAAAGAACAGAATTATCTTACTGAATTCAATTGACTGTGAACCAGAACTGTAGACTGAGACCAGAGACACTGTTAGGTAAAAATGCAAAAAGACAAATCTTGAAACAAAAAGAAAGGTCTAGATAGGTGGCAGAAGAAACACAATTACCAAGGAGAGGCAAGAAGCAGAAGCAAAAGGCGACAGAAATAAGGTTCACAGGCTGGAAGTGTTCAAGATACATTTCAGTCCCTAAGAAAGGAGATGCTGACTATAGGATCATTGCACTAGCTTCCCATACAAGCAAAATGAAGGGCAGCAGTGAAAGAACAAGAAAAAAAAATCATCAAATATAAGGACATTTTACTGGAGACAAAGGCCAGGATCTTCCACACTATTGCATCCTCCCTCATTTTATATGATAAAGAGGGATAGTGAAGGAAGCTGAAAGGAAGAAAACAGATGCATTTGAAATACAGTGCTGGAGGAGTGCTTTGTAAATACCCTGGAATGACAGAAAGATGAACATATGTGTCCTAGTTCAAATCAAGCCAGAACTTTAGTTGGAAACAAAAATGACAAAACTGAAGCTGTCATTCTTTGGACATTCTTCTCCAAGGCAAGACTCACTGGAGAAGACAGACATGCCAGGGAAAGCCCAAGGCAGAAATAGAGGACTACCAATTGGAAGATGGGTTGACTCCATAAAGAAAGCCACACCCCAGGGCTATCATGTGCACAACACTTTGAAGGGTTAGGGTGGCTGTATGTCCGGGATAACTTGACTGCATATAACATTAACTAAGGCTCTTTTTTGCTATTATTGGCAGCAAAAGCTTTAAGAAAAATAAATGATAAAATAAGTGATGTGATGGCCACATCACTTTTTTTGGCTCAGTCCCCTTTCTTTTTCCCTTCACCAAATCTTGTCTTTGGCTTTGCCCATCCATGGAATGCAGCTGCTGGGGGGTTCTCCAAAATTAAATTCAGCCAGCTCTCAGGCAGAAAGAGGAGCAAAGCACCTGGTACAGCCAACCCCACTGGGGTATTTTGTTCTGTGAGCTGGCTCTCAAAATGATAAGAGATGTAGATTATTTTCCAAGCCAGCAAAAGCAAAGCCAAAATAAAATAAAGTAAAGTAAAGTAAAGTAAAATAAAATAGAGTAGAGTAGAATAGAATAGAGCAACTGCACTGGCCTATTCTGTAGGTATTAAATCTGTTTTAGAGTGTCTACTAAAAGCCAGCTGGTATTTATTATTTGTTTATTCATTAGATTTATATCCAGCTTTTTTTGTTACAATGAATTCAGTGTAGCTTATATTATTTTCCTCCTGCTCTAAGTGTGATCCTCACAACAACCTACCCCGTGAGGTAGGTTGGGATGAGCCTCTGTGACTAGCCCAAAGTCATCCTGTTGACCCCATAGCCAAGCAAGAACTAGAGCCCAAATCACCTGAGTCCCAGTTCTACACTCTTAACCACTATACCACACTGGGTCTAAATAACCAGTTGTTGTTTAGCAAAGTTGCGTCCAACCCATTGCTATCCCATAAACAACATTCCTCCATGTTCCCCTGTCCTCCACCATTCCCTGGAGTCCACCTAAGCTCACACCGACTGCCTCAGTGACTCCATCTAGCCCCCTCATCCTCTGCCATCCCCTTCTTTTGCTGTCAATTGTTCCCAGCATTAGGCTCTTCTCCAGGGAGTCCTTCCTTCTCATTAGGTGGCCAAAGTATTTGAATTTCATCTTCAGCATCTGGCCTTCTAAAGAGCAGTCAGGGTTGATCTCCTCTAGGACTGACTGGTTTGATGATCTTGCGGTCCAAGGGACTCACAGGAGTCTTCTCCAGCACCACAATTCAAAGGCCTCATCTCTTCGGCACTTAGCCTTCCTTATGGTCCAGCTTTCACAGCCATACATTGCAACTGGGAAAACCATAGCCTTGACTTGGTATTGTCTAGTGGTTAAAAGGAATGGACTCATTAGTGTAATATTGATACCAGAGGGTGGGGATTTTTACCAGATGAAGAGGGAGTTTGCGTTCTATGGGTTCCATTCCCTCCAGCCACTAGATAGTCACGTACAACTTGGCTTCAATTGACTGATTTAGATATCCTTAGCCTTTTTAGCCAAAACTGATGGGATTTGTAGGCCAAGACATGTGGAGGATCACGTTGCTCACCCCGACCTGGTGTAACACCTAAGGGTAATCTTGGGCATTGCAAAGATTTCTCTTCTGCTGTTGCTTCCCAGAAACTGTCTGCATGTCACCTAAGGCGAGATAAAAACTGGAGCTACAGCAAGCCCTTATACTTTGAGAAATGGGGGTCAGCCATCGCTTCACCATCTCAGAATGCTAGCTGCGATTTGTTACCTCCAACACCTTCCTGCACTTTCTGTTTGGAAACTTAAGTCTGACCTTATGGCCATAACATGCTGCCTGCTTTTTGAACTCTTATGTTTGTTTTTGTACCCCCCGTGCATTTTTTGCGCTGTATAGTCTGATGCTGAATTCTTGTGCACTGATTTGTACCTAACTGTGGATGGTGAGTATTCGTCACTACACAGTGTAATATGTTTTGCTTTCAGCCTGTTTTGGTCTATCTCTGGATAGTCTCTAGTCTTCATTAAAAATTACTGTTCTGTTCATTGTATTTGTAATGCACATTCAAACATTTATAATGAACAAAAGAAAGCATTTATCTGCCCAGTTGAACCTGCTCTTGTAGCAGATAGATATTGCAGTGGCAGCCGCTTTCATGCCATGTTCACATCTGGGTAGTTTGTCATCTGAAGGCAAGATTTGTGTATGTTCTTGGCTTTGTGAAACTGATATGCTTCTGGAGATGAATGGACACAGCAGAGCTTGAATATTTAAGCTGGAATATCTGTACAGAACACTTTACTTCAAGATATTTCTTGTTCTAATTTGTAAACTCAAATGAGGAATAAAAAGCAGATTTCTTTCAAGGAGAGAAGTAGTTTAAATCTGGATATAAAAAAGACTGAAAAACAAAACAAGGAGCACACATTTCTTTATCTAATGATGCCTGGTTTTCATGGCTTTTTAAAACCAGAAGTATCCAATATTTATCTTCAACTTGTGTTGAAAACTAATTTCCATATGGGTCATATATTTGCATATAGATCAGCTTCCCGAGTGACTTCCGTTGTGAGCCTAAACCCAGGCAAATGGCTGTGTGGAGCAGGGCAGGATTGCTCTTGGAGAGATTAGAGCCAAATGGTAGACTAGTGCTGCTGTTTACCACTCCAAGGAAAAGCCAACTCAATGGCACCTTTTTGATTTTCTCTGTCAGGAGAATATGCTGTGTGTGTGTGTGTGTGTGTGTGTGTGTGTGTGTGTGAGAGAGAGAGAGAGAGAGAGAGAGAGAGAGAGAGAGAGAGAGAGAGAGCGCGCGCGCGCGCGAGCATGGGGGGGGTGAATTTGGATTGGAACCCTGTAACAAAGGATTAAATCTCAACTCCTGTGGTGCTAAACTGAGTCTCATCCCCACCGCCTTTTAACCTTGAAAAACATTACCTGATCTGCTCAAGTTGTTTCTAGCTTAGCTCTCAAGGGCCTTTCTTGCTGCTCAGGGCTGAAGAGCCTTTTGCTTATGTGTCAGCTTAAGAAAATGGCTGGGGTGCAGAATAATGGAGGGTTCCTTGGAACATGTGCCGGTGTTAGTGGCCTGTGCTGGCTGCTAAATGATGCTGGCTCCTTTCCCCTTTTCTAGTGCTTCACATCTTTGTTGTAATCCACCCAGGGAGCTTTGGCTACAAGTGGTATAGAAATGAAATTGATGATGATGATCCTTTTTAATTCAGTGGTTTCCTTTTCTTCCAGGGTAATTCAAACAGTATTGCCTCTGTGGATGTTTCAGCTGGATTTGTTGGGCTTGACAACTATGTGACAGTCCCAGCCGTCTTCCTGACTGGATTCTCCATGTACTCTGGGCCTGTGCTGTGGGCCATTCACTTGCTGTGCTATTTGAGTTCTGAAATTCACAGGTAGTTCTTTTGCTTAGAATAAATCTAACTGTTTAATGTCATTCTCTCTGTGCCCAGTGAACTAGCAAGCTAGACAAGGGGCAGGGTACATCGGAACAAACATGTTTGCCAAGTTCTCCAAATTCCACCTAGAAACCTATCCTGTCTTATGTGCGTGTTAGATTTCAAGCTGTAGGGTTTTGTTTTTTTAATGTGTGTGCATATTTTTCAAATGTATGCTTCAGTTGTGCACATCTTTCATGGTAAACAATCTTTCATTGATGAAGGCGTGTTTGTGTGCATTTTGCAAAGGTATGGGTTTTTCAAGTGCATGCATGTTTGCAAAGGTTAGAAATACTCTTTCCTTTCCTTTGGAAGAGAAAAATATTCTAAGCAGGCAAAGGGTTCTTTTTGAAACTTTATTGCAGCAAAGGGAGTGGAGAGTTTCCTTCCCCTTGCCAGCTTGCCAAGCACATGTTCTCACCTCATTTTTATGCCCTCTCCACTGATTCTTCCCTCCTCTTTTCCCTCATTGGGCAGGGTACTGGGAGGTTACAAATCTTTTTCCATCTGCCTATCCTGTTCTGCTCCAATACCTGTTCTTCCCTCCTACTTTGTCCCTCCCAGGTGTATTATAATGAACTTATTTCCTATGCAGGGTGTGTTTGCTAATAGTTACAAGGTCATTGAGCAAGTTTCCTGCTTTCTTGTCTACCTGACAATTCCCTCCTGCTATCTGATCTCAGCCCTCTACTCCTTTTGGTTAAGGAGTATCTTTGTTACATTTTTACTCTTCCTCTTTCCTTGTTTCAAATCATTCTTTCATATCAGTAAACACATTGTTTGTCTGTGAATCACATTGCAAGCTCAGAAATGTATTTATGTTTAGTAACCACCTTGAGTGTCATTCTTTTGGTACCACAGTGAGTGCAAATAAAGTAAAAGAATGTTGTGGACATGGACCATTGATTATGATAAAGTCCTTATTGAGACTGGGGGTAATTCAGAACCAAACTGAAACTAATTTCTCATACATCCCTCCTATGCCAGCAATTAGATGGCCTCAGCCTTATTTTGGCAGAGATATCAGCCTATTGTGTGAATACCCACGGTGAAAGTGGCAGCAGGGCTGCACTTCTAGCCCTGCACCCAAAGTCGAGGCATTCCTTCTGTCCATCCTCTTCTCACTGTGTTCTCCATAACTCCTGCAGCAGTGCTCATTTACACATGATGGTGGCAGCACACAGCCATGTTCTGCTGTGGCACGTGCCAGGTGTATTCTGCAGCCTTTTGAGTCATTCAGATGCTGATCAGGCTGATTTGGAGTAGCTTCCTAACATCCAAGCTCAGTCACTATAGGTCTATAGGTCTATCTGAACCTATAGGTCCAGGTTCAGACCTCACAGAATAACCCACACTCTGGTTTTGAATATTCAAACAGCTGTGGAATGTGTCTGGCACACACTGTGGTGGATTGTGGATTGAGTGAGTGATTGAGCCATTGATTTGGGGCTGTTACATGTAAACCGGCTGAATCTGTGGGTGACTTCCTGTAATTTAGAACCCTACATAATCAAGAAGTGGTGCCCAACTAGCTGCACTGCCCACCCACCATTCCTTCTGGAAAGATCAGTGTGAGCGGGGTGGCGGTGGATTTGCCCAGAGAGAAAAGGGATGACAGTTTCAACTTGTAGCTTGTTGACCCTGATACATATAAATATAGTTATAGTGTGTGTGTGTGTGTGTGTGTGTGTGTACTTACTTTAAATGTTTTTAGGCCATCCTTAAGGCTAGCACTACATGTTCCTATCGCTATGTATATGTATTTGTGTGTGTGTGTGTGTGTAGGCTAGTAGAGCTGCAGCCTTGCGTGCATGCATTCCCTCCCTCCCTGTGTGTGTGCGTGTGTGGTGAGGGGCTTGCAGCAGAATGTGTATCAGCTGTTAATATTGATCACTGACTTCAAAGCTTTTGCACTGGAATCTTTTGCCTTAGGTGCATTTTTAAAAAACGAATTCAGCACAGGCAAATCTAAACTACTGGGAGTAAAAGCTGAAGGTGTGCATTTAAAATGAGAGAGATCAATTACTCTCCAGTTACACCAAGGAGGAGCCCAAGGGATTATTGTAAATGAGTCTTCACCAGCTAGCAGTTTGTTGGTTCAGCAAGAAAGACAGGTGCAAGCCTTCCTCTGTAGGACAGGATGAGGGCAGCAGGGGTTACTGTCCAACCTGCAGGTGTTTCCCCTGCTTCAAAGGCATGTGGTGTTGCCTATGAGTTAGCTCACACCTTCTGATTAGGTGCTTTCAGATTCAGAATATTTGAGATATATTGGAGCAGAAGTCCTTACCATTACAGAAGGACATGCAATCAGTCTACTTCTGTATAAAGTTCTTGCATGCCATGCTCTCCAGCTTAGCCAAGGATGGTGGGCATGCCACTCTCCAGTGCAAAGGCATATGTAAGGCCTCTTTTGAAACCTCCTCCAGTTGAATTCCTGAATTGTTCGAAGGTGGTTATGGCAGCCACCTCCCCAGCACTGAGTTATCCTGGCAAGCCTGTGGTTCACTGATGGCTTTGCTGCAAGTATTTGTCCTCCACCTTCTGACAGTAGCCTTAGCATAATTTGTTTGTTAGGTGGTCATGCATGAGTTGGATTCCCACCCTGATTCCCAGGAAGGAGTCTTACTGGCATCACAGGGCTGCTGCTGATGCATAATGGTGACTATCTCTTGTGAATGGTGACTATCTCTTGTGTATGACAGAGGGAACTCTCAGGTCAGATGCATGATTAATCTGTGAGCTAATGTGGATTGGTTGGTTGGTTGGTTGGTTGGTTGGTTGATTGCTTGGCAGGGACTGTGCAGATATGAAATCAAGGGGCACTGTTGCTTTTTTGTTTTTCAATTCTTTTGCTCATTTAAAGCAATAATTAAATATGTGCACATACATAATGTGTGCAGGTATAGTGTTCTACCTTATAAGGAATCAGAAGCAACTTACACTGTAGCCATCAAATAAATACAGTTTTAAAATAACCTCTAAAAGCAAAAAGACAATAAAATAACAATGAAACACGGCAGTAAACAGGGCATAACAACAGTTCAAAAAGCAGTCACGTAAAACCTGACAATATTCCTTAGCCATCTACAAATATCCAGTAGAATTTTTATAAGATCAGTAACATCTCTTTACAGCCTATTACAGAGCCTGTTGCAGTGCAGCCCTAAGAAGGGTTGGGAACAAAGTCACCCGTCCTGTGCTGTTTCTCAAGCCCTGCTGGCTTATGCTGGTATCTCAGTGGGCATAGGCAAAGGTCCCGATGCTTGAACCTTTTGGAGGAATTGTGGAACACCCTATTTCGGACTCCTCCACTGGCAGAAATACTGCCCTTAGATTAATGGCCTACAGCCACAAATCTACCTGCAGATGTGACTTGCCTTAGCTTAGGCAAGAATTGTTCTGCCCATGTAATAACTCAAGGGTCACTTACCAAAAATAAGAGAAACGAATTTGAAATACTTCAGATTTAGCTTGAATAATTTGTAAATATACTGGTATCAATTCTTGGAAAAAATTGGGTCAGCTCTTAAGGAATGAAAGTGTTTTGATTTGAATGTTATATCTGCCTGTGTTAAAATAAACTCTTCCTATTGCTAACTCATAGCACAGAGCAAAAATGTAGCAAAGGCATTAATTAATTATACAAGAGTGATAAAGTTCCTGCCTAGACTGCTTGATTAATTCTCTGAGTTCCAATATACAGCAAATATTCAAGCTCTTAAAATAGGTTCTCAGTTTAATTGTTCTCTCTCCCTCCCTGAAACCTCACCAAATGGGGTGAATTCCACCATCTGTAGTATAATTCAAAACCTTTTTTAGGAAACAAAATGCCAATGCCTTGTTGAAGCACTCCCTACAGATTTCCACTGACTAGGTAATTCAGTTCTTTCAGTGACAGTACACCAATTCTGAACGCCTTTCATTCTAAAACCTTTAAATAGCTAACTAGAAAAAGAACTGGAGGAAGAATTGTGTATTTCTCTGATTCACACATAACAAAAATCTACAGTTCAGTTTAAGTATGGATTGTTGTTGAATTGTTGGTTCTTATGTGTGAACTTTGCACTATGGTTTACGTACAGGTTAACTATGAACTACCCAGGAGTAAAAGCTGTGGAGCCTGGGGGTAGGGGTGTTGGTAAACAACCAATACATAAACCATAGTGCAAGGTATGCACATAAAGACAACTCCCCAAAAGAAGTGGCTAGCAAGTATGTTGCTTTGCTATTTTATTTAAGCGGAGCTTCTTTGTTGGTTTTTACCTGTTGGATTTGAGAACATGAGGTTTCCTGGGAAATGCTTTCAACTTGTTCAACTTGGTTCCATTCCCCCACCCCCAGTTCTTAAAAGAATTGATGTTCTGGAGATGTGGGAGAGAATGAGGGTGTATCTAAGCATATTGGGAGGAACTCCTCATCTGTGGTGCACAAGCATTCCTCTCAGGTTTACCTGAAGCTGGCTGCAGTGGCTGGAGGTGACAGCCAGGTTTCTCTATCTGCAGTGTTGTACGGGAAGCTTGCAAAAACTTATTATTCATCTCTCGCTCCTTACTTCCCAAGAGTAGAGAGAGGAGCTGGGGCTGCAGAGAGCGCCTTGGAAGAGAAAGGAGCCTGGCAGTAGGGCTGACGGTACATCTGCGTCAGAAAGCAGATGGATTGGAGAGCCTCTTGCAGGAGAAAGGAACATGGGTGAGAGGAAAGAGGCTGTGCTGTAGTTGTGGACCTAGGCTAGGAAGGCAAGGCATTCCCCTTCCCTTGAGGACTAGTCCTTAATCAGACTTGGAAGAGCAACATAAAATAAGTGGAGTGGATTTTTCTGGGATGATAGGTAGGAAATAGGCTATGTTTTAGCTGTGATACTTCTCCTGCATTTATTTTCTCCTTTCTTAAGTGTAAGGGGGGGCAGTGTGGTGCAGTTGTTTAGTGGCAAGGCACTCTGCACATGCTTAATGACAGCA